AAATATGAAGTGCACAGGCATGCCTCCAAGAATCCAACGCGGAATCTTTCGCGGAAAAAATAAGTTTCTTTCGCGAACTCCATCGCCGATCTTTCGCGGAGGAATTTACGCCAAGATGAATGGTCACCGAATACATAACTCCTTGCAAGGACCTTTTGATCAACCCCCATATCCGTACTGGGACCCGCTATGGAGCTTGACCGAAGAAGTTACTCGACGGCAAAGCAACTCGAGGCGCCCATGTTGCAAAAAGTGCCAAGGAAAGTCCCGATTGAACCCCCTGGCCCAAAGGCGGCCACGTCTCCATCCAGTTGGCAAAAGCTTGGGATACGGGATAATTTCCGGGAAGCTACACAGGGTGTTTCTTGCAAACGTATTCTGCACCAACACGAAAGTGCCGAGGGTTGCTGACTTCCCAAGAGGTCGAACCTCTGGGCAAAAGCCCGTGGTTACTGCAACATGGCACCATGAATAATCATCTCTCGCCAACCCAAAGCTCGTGCAAAGCGTCTCGCTGGAAGTGATTTCCTCGAGACTTGAGTGACAAAGCCAGCGACCTCTACAAATATTTATTAAAAAAAAAGGTTTCTTATTGTCAAGGGAAGCAACTACAAGGGGAACACTACCCACTACAAGATATCTTATGAGGTTGAATTGTAGGCAATGCGCTTCCTCAGGGCTGATCCCACAATTTTCTGGGAAAATTTGAGGGAAACCACAGGACCCCAACTGAATTTGGCCATCTTTCAACATACAAAAGGGCTGCGAAAGCGCATCACACACAAACCCCACGGTTTGCCGAAACTGTTGGGGTCACTTTTATGCAGCGCTCTTGGGTGCGGCGGGTCTGCACCATAAACACACAAGCATCATTTGGAAGGAACCTTCTTTTCCAAGAGCAGAAGCACAGATCAACAGAAATGCAAACGCCTTTCCGGGGCTAGAGAGATGCTCCCAAGAGTCAGACAAGATCTTCACATGCGCTTTTTGTCGGCGAGCCCCCTTGAAATATGAGCCCCGGCGCGGCCGCATGCCAAAAGCACGGGTGAAGGGCATTGCCACTGGTCGAGCTTGCGTGTCTTCACCTTGTGCTCTTGACGCAGGGACGTGGGAAATGACCACTTCTGTGATACAACAAGGGCAACCCCCAGGTAAAGAGGGGATTCCCTTGTATCACAGAAGTGGGGATAGACCCCCTCGATCCCACAACCCTGTCTTGACGTAATTGATGCTCGGCGCGCCTTATATTAAACAGCCATGCGCCGCCCTTGCCCGCCTGCCCAGTCGATGCGGCTTCACGCGGCGTAGCTGCAACAAAGCTCTGCACACATCACGGGTAGGTTTTCTGCGCAAAGAAACACATAACAGAACCCAAGGATCGGAGCAGACGGGCCAAAGCTGACGTCTAAGGCGTCTATGCTACACCTCTACACCTCCTGTCATGATATCCCGGGCCCCACGAGAAGCGGAGCACCATGTGAGCAGCCTCCGCCCATTCACTTCTGGTTCTCTAACATGCTTGGAAAGGTTGATGTAGGGGCATGATTTGATTGAGGGTATGTAAAAACGCGATGCAACAATAATCTCATTGCTAATTGCAGAGGTATGCGTCCGGCAAAAATAACAGCGCTCGGAGAGTCGCAAGCGTGTGCAAGTGCAGTATGCAAAGTGGACCTCAGCATCGTAAGCCCTGGCAAAAAGTTGTTTTTTTGTGACGGCTAACTGTGTAATGAGGTATGAAACGTGGAGCACAGAAAGAGGATTCTTCCGTCCCCTCACTGCTACCTGTTCCAACTGTTCCTCTTCTGAAGGGCAAGCTCTCCGCAAGTTGACTCTGCACCTGTATGTCCAGTAATAGCACACGCTACAACGTTCCTTTGGGAAATCACTGAGTCTGGGTATGCATCGGGGAACGTATACAACGAGAAGTATTCAGGTCTTATATAAATGTTACATGCATAGGGATACACAGCGTATGTAGCGAGGTATTATGAGAACTTTCCCGGCAGCTATGGCGCGTACCCCTCAAACAATAGATTTGGCATATAAGGTCTACCCCAACTAAGTCAGGCCCTCACGCACTTCCAACTTCCGCCTGCTCCCTGCTTCTCGGAGGACCCGCTAGCATAGCTTCAAATGCAACATGCGGAAGGGGCTCATGCTCATGCATCAGACGTTCGCAAGACGGCTGTGGCATTCGAAGACTTCCCACCCGTTGGCACTTGGGCCCTGAGCCCATCAAAAGTCTGACCGGATTTCTGGAGGCCTGTGTCTTCCTTTTGTGCGCCCCTGGTTTCCTTTGTCCTGTCCAATGGTGGCACTGAGCGCTGAAACAAGATCCTGCGCGAAAAAGAAGCGGTGAAACGCCGCCTGCCTGTCAGGTTGCTTCCAGAACTCGACATAGAAATGCAAAGTTCGCACATGCCAAGTATTGAGAATGACATAGGCATTGGGTCCCGACCTGGCAAATAGCATGCAAGAGGTACGACAACTTGCGATGCTTGCACAAGGCATCCAAGGTTTGGAACTGTCCTGGAGGAGCTTGTTTTATTCCTGCTGGAGCTTGCCGAAAATCAGACACGTGAATGTCTGTGTGTGGCAATATAGATAGAGAGAGGGCGAGAGAGAAGAGAGAGAGAGAGAGAGAGATATTGTGTATACACAAATTGGATGATATGATGGGCAGAAATCATCCACCAACAGAGACTATGAGCAGGTGTCACTTGTCTCCGCAGCATATCAAAGTAAAGCTATTTCGGGCCACGAAGCTACGTAACTCCGTTGTTTTTGATGCACAGCATGTTTCGTACATTACCAGTTCACACAAAGTTGGTGATTGATCGATCTGCGCCCCTGGACAACACAAGTGTCAATCCCGCATGGAAATCACTGCCAGGAAAAGGAAGACTCACTCGAGTCACTCTGCAACGACAAATTGTAGTCATGGGTTGAGTCAGTTTGAGTGACATGGACACTCCTTGCGGAGAGGGTTTCCACGCCGCATGCATGTCCTTCCGCACGCTGAGCGTGAATTCTAGCACCTGCTAACTGCGAAAGGCGCGAGTTGCTTCACACTCGGCTGTGCCCAGAATGGCAGAAGGCGTTGCTGGGCAACTGCCCAAGAATGATGTGCGGCGGATTTGTTTCCACAGCCAAGAGCAACTCCAGCTTGCCAAAAGCAAATGGAACTGAAACGATTTCCAATTTCTTGCGTATGTTGGCTCCCTCCCTTTCAACTCCACCCTGCTCAGTATTCGTAGAGGGAAGCTCAAGCTCTTCGACACCCATGCATTTTGCGGACCCAACCCTGCTTTGTGAATCCACAAACCAAGATTTCCCTATTTCCCTCGTGGCTGCTTGATAGGGTGGAACCCGGGCTAGCATATGGCGTATCCGCTTAAACAAGCCTGTCGGGCCGAAACAACTCGCAACGCGCCTCGCGCTCAGAGAGCTGACCGGAATCTGCCTTTTGACCAGTTGTCTTCTTTTTGTGTTTCAACGTACGCCTCAAAGGGGCTGCAACGAAGGGACCCCAAGTGCAAGGGTCAAAAGACAAACCCGGATCAGCTGGAACTAGGATTCCTGGCGGGTGTGGTGTCCTTTTTTGAGGATAGCCCTTTTTCTGCAGCTTTGAAAAGGGACACCAGAAGGACAACCTTTTTTTTAGGGGGGGGGGGCTTCAAAAAGAGAAACACCCATGTGTAGAACAGTGGGGCCAACCCTGGCAACCGCCGCAATCAGACACCTATTGCTGAATTCCACCTCCTTTTGTTCTGCCTTTCAAGGGCACCATGTCACCAGGGTCTGGTCGAGAACAATGGCAACGCAGAAGGATCCCGCCCGCAGCCCCAACCCAACCTGTCTATGTATTCACTCATTCCTGTAGTGCGCATATTTCACGTAATCATATTACGGAATAGTATACAACATAGTTTAGTTATAGAATTATAGAATGATAATAATAAGCATAACGCTCATGAAAGTGATAAGAGAGGTCGACAAAGAGAGAGAGAGAGAGAGAGTGAGAGAGAAAGAGAGTGAGAGAGAGAGATAGAGAGAGAGAGAGAGAAAGACAAAGAGAGGGAAAGCGAAATGTGTTCTCCTTTCTCAGGGGAGGACGCAGGTCGTGCATGTGGCAGACCAGAAAGCTGGCAAAAAAAGCTTCGCATCCGCCGGATTAAAGGGATCTGTGCCTTTGGGTTTCCTAGCTCCACTCCCCTGAGCTAGGTGACCCAGCGAACCCCTGAAACGAAAAGAAGGATGGCTCACCTTCATCAGGCATCCTTACATTGTACACCTGAACATTGCAACTTGTAAATGGCGGCTTCCCCTTTGATTTTGGCGTTGAAAAAGCCACATGTTTCAAACGGTTGCGAAATGGAGCTCTTTTAAGGAGCCCATAGATCTCGGTTTCGCCATTCCCTTTGGTCGACCCGGCCTGGACCACTGGAACCTCCCACTCCGAAATCTGGCGCCATGCTCGAACGGACTCCCGAAAACTTCCATGTGGTGAAGACCCTCGGACAAAATGAGCAAATATGTCCAGTAGTAATAAACTCCTCTTAAAACCAACAAGGGAAATATAAAATATTCTTGAGCAAATGGAAGAAAATGCGGCTGTGACTGGCAACTAGATTGTAAATATGGAGCAAGCAAAAAGACCTTTTTGCCCAAGTTGGGTTGATCCAGAGAGCCAAAACTAGTCCAGCGTTTCTTTGTGCCATAAGGGCGACAGCAATGACTCTAAAGGCCAAATGAAAGCCCCAACCCCAGGCCCGAAACCAGCCAGGCTTTCCTTGTCCACTTCCGGCAACAGCAAACCCACCTTTTTGGAGGTCCCCTCATTTGGGTGGGTCTTTGGCGAAGATGGTTTGTTTCCCTTTGGCTTCCCAGTAAAAGAACCCCCCAACAAAGGGAACCCCCCGAAAAAGAGACACCGATTTGGAGTCAAACCAAACCTGGCCTTCCCGCTTGGGTCTCGTCCGCCAGCGAGCCGCCGCTCAGCCCAGCACACTGCGCGGGATACAGCGGCTTTCATGGATAAAAGAAAAAACAAAAGACGCTTTTTGCCTGGGGAATGCAAAAAAGGGAAACGCAACGGATACTAGGATACGTGAGCAGCCGATATTACTTGTCTAGCGCAAAGCCGGTCGTGATTTGAACTCGTTTTCAACAAAATCGTAGCCAATTTGGGCGGGGGGGACCATCTCGTGTTGCAGAGGATCAGCGCAAAAGCACTTGTAGCTCAACAACTGCAACACCACTCCTGTGCGCCAATCAAGCTACTTTGTTGTGTCTTGTTCTCTCGCATCGTTTCAAAACTAATTGTCGGCTAATTGGTTGGCCGCCTATGTTGGGGGTGGGCTGAAAGGAAACCAACCGAAAACCAAACGGAAACTAACCATTTGTGTCCATTTGTTGGGGTTCTCATTTTGAGACACCCCCCGAGGGGGATTTGAAGGGGCACAAACATATGATTTGCTGTTTTGCCTTTTGTTTGAAGGGTAGTTTGAAGGGTAGTTTGAAGGGAAACGCAAAGGACACCCTTTGTTCGGTTTTTTTTAAGGTGCACTCTTCAAAGAAACGTGCAAGTGGCCAAGTGCTCTGAGGCTCTGCTCGGCTGTTTGCAGGTCCCACAGCGGAATACCAGTACGTGCAGGGATCAGGGGGAAGCAACAAACCCCGAAAAAAATGGGGGAATAGCTCGCTTGTGCAGAGTTCATGAATCATGTGGTGTCAAACGGAGAAAATTGTTCGACCTGCTCCCCCTGTTTGGTGCCCCTGCGTCCCAGGAAAAGGATCGTGTCCACTTGGACACGACCCTGATGCGCTGAATCAACAAGACTCCCTTCATCAACAAGATTTTCTTCAAATGCATACATCCTCAAAGCGTTCAATTTTGAAACCTGAGACTGCGTGGTTTTCCGGAACCTGAGAACCTGAGCCAGCATCCGCTCCGAGCAACTCCAGAATCCGAGACCCCAAAGCTTTCATCCGAGAGAGCCAAACCATCCAGATCCACAAAAAGCCAAACATTCATGGGCTTCCGTTTCCCTACCCCTTGCTGACAATCCAGAACGAGTGGATTGGCCAGAAAAACATGTGATTCACTCAACTTCCTTTTCAGGCCCCCCTCAGAAGCGTCCTGCGAAGCTCTTTGGGATCCCAAAAAGCATGTCCAGCAAAAACCGGGAGGGATCTACACGTTCCTCGGTTGCGAAATCTGCTCCCCTGCTAAAAGTTTAACCTTTGGTGGTTTAATGCCCAAAAAAACAACTATTAAGTTAAAGTCCTAACATCCCTTGTCAAAATGCACCAAAGTCTCGGTGGTTTGGAGCCGAGTCGGTGGTTTGGTTTCCCCTTTTACCCTTACAAGGGCTTCAAATCCAAATCCAAACCACCAACCAATTCAAAAGTCCTAAAGTTCGAACATCCAAATCCAAGTCCTAACATCCCACCAGTCCAAACCACCAACAAAGGTCCCACCCAAACTTCGATGCGAGAGTCGCCTCTTCTGCGCGAGCAAGCTGGCCGCCAGCACCAGCAAAGCCCAGCGCCCAAAGCGCTTCTCCGCGGACGCCTGGACCACGCGCCTCGGCTTTGTAGAGATCCGGGTCTGTCCATTTGTTTTTTGAGGGCGCCGTTTTTGGGTGGTTTTTAGTGGGGAGCCAAAAGGACACTTATCAAAGTCATGTTGGAGATTGTTGCGTGTCCAATTTTTTTGAGGGTGGTCTCTCTAATGTGGGGGGTCGGCCCTTTGGTTTCCATTTCAATCAATCTCAAGGCACAAAAACAGGCACAACCAACTGGGTCTGTCCTTTTTGAGGGCACCTTTTTGTGGTGGTTTTGACGAGGGGAGCCAAAAGGACAACCATCCATTTTGGGGAATACCTATAAGAATAATGTCTGGGCTCGCATGGTTCAGGCTCTCTTGAGTGATGGTTCTGCTGCTTCCGATTACTTGTAGTCAGCCAAAACCGGTCCTTGTTTGTGGTCGTAGAGGATCTTATAAGTGGTCCCTGGGTTTGCAGACGTGTTTCAGGACCGGTCCTTACGACTTTTCCCTTACTGCGCCGAGGGTCGGCGGCAGCAGGCGGGAGCCTGGTTAATCCGGCTACGCCTCCTTGGGGTAGCATGTCGCCGCTAGGCAATTAGCCTGCTAGCTTTAGCTATAGGGGGTGCACCCTGGTGCCGCCGACCCTCGCCACTTGGTCGTGATGCGCTGCCTAAATCCGGCACCTCTGCATCACCAGCTCGGGCTTGCGGTTTTGCTTGCTTGTGGGAAACCCTCGCCAAACATCGCGTATATGCAGGGTTTAGGCCATGTGGCCGACATCATCAGGGTGTGGGGTTGGCCCTGGGCGATGCTTCAGCGGGGCTTGGTCTGCATCATCCAGACTTCCTTCCAAAAAGCCTCTCAACCCAAAAAGCACTGTTTTTTAGAAGGTATCGGAGGGATATAAGCGAGGCTCATTTTCGCGCATTTTGGCGCCAAGCGCTGCCGGGCATGCCTGCGATGCTGGGTCCTCGCTCTACAAAACGCTGTAGATACCGTCAAAAACTGCTGTGCTGAGCGGTGGGCTGTTGTTCTGTCCGTTTTGCTTTTGCTGTGGCTGGCTCGCGTGCTGCGCGGTCCTTGCTTTTTTCGCGTTGGTTTTCGGGCCTTTTGGCCCGCGCGCGCGCGTGCGACTCCAGCCACAAAACGCTGCTATTTACAATGTTTTGTTGCTTTTGCGTTTCCGGGCTAGCTTGCGGGCTGTTCTTTTTGGGCTGCTGTTTCTGCGGCCTCTGGCGCGCGCGCGCGCGCGACCCCATGTGAGCCTTCTGGTTTGGGTCCTGGCTAGGGCCCAGAAAGCTTGGGATTGGGGTGGGCAACAGGCATAACCTAACCAGCCATATCATAGCACAGGATACGTTTCTCATACAGAAAATCACATGACATGGTATAACTTCAAAGAGGCGTAGCCGGCTAGAGGCCGCAGGCCCAGAAAAAAATGTCTGGGCTCGCATGGTTCAGGCTCTCTTGAGTGATTCTGCAACTGGGCTGTTCAAAATGCAGTGTTGGCCAATCCGATTTTCCATAATCCTTATCATGTGTATATATAATGCGTATACATATATATATATATATATATGTATATGTAAGGGAAGCCACTACAAACAAAAACTCTTGCGTACCCGAAGGTAATGATTAAGGATAGCCTTTGCATGCGCATTGCAAAGCCACAAGCGCCCCTGCAACAGGACATCGGCTGCCCTGCGGGAGCGCACCATCCAGTTTTTCGATGTGAAACACCCCACTGAGTAGCGCAACACCCCTGAAGGCTTTGCAGTTTGCTCAGTTGCCTAAACTAGGTCCCCCAGTAGAGAGGTTAGAATAAGGGTACCCTTTTTTTCTGTAGTCTATTTTAATAGGCGAACCCTCCCCCAAAAAAGATTTGGTAAAAGGGCACCTAGCTGGAGGACCTAGTTTTTCGGACCCACAAGCAAAAGGTTGACCTTTTGGAGCCACTAAAAATGGATCCAATCAGGAAAACCAAAAGGAACCAGAAGGTCAGGGTGCCCGATGTTTTTTTTCTGCAGCCTATTTTAGTAGAACTTCCCCCCAAAAAAAAGGGTAAATGGGCACTACTGGGGGACCTTGTCATTCTGGCGACCGGGTTTTTACTTCTAGGTGAGCTCGCCAAAATTAGATTTTGGGCGAGGAACTGGATGCTCAACCGGAGAAGCTGCTCGGAAACAGCGCAAGTACAGGGAGGCTTAGCCAACATACATTAAACAGTCCAAACCATGACCCTGTGACATTCCAACCTTGACTCAGCAATGCGCACTGCAACTGCAACTGCTATTGCCAGGCTAGCAATCCCAGGTTACGCTAGCTTCAAGATCTTGTCCTTTGATGCGCGGCCTCCTAAAATGGGCATTTGTTTATTGAGGGTACATCCTTTTTGGTGGTTTCAAAGGGAAACCAAAAAAGAAAACCACCAGTATTATACATTAGTCTGGCTTTTTTGGGGGGGTCCCCAAAAACAGAGACACACCCGCATGCTGCTACCTATTGTAATGTTAGAGGTCCCTCAGGGCTTCACAAACCCGGGTTCCCCAAACACAGTAGCAACCCTGGCTGGTGAGAAAATCCATGGTGAAACCTGGTGGGCTCATTTCTCGCCGAGGGGCGTCTCGTCTTCATCGGCATTCTTGTTGTGAGCATCCACCAGCGGATCCATGATCCAGAAGAAGGCCGGTGGGAAGAATGCCAACCTGAGAACTCCACACAGAGGGTCGCTGCCCGAGGATTTGGGAGTTGTACTTGGACATACTTGAGTCACAATAAAAACCCGGTATTAAAATGCTCTTCCCAGAACCATGTAAAGAATTAAGAAGGCGGCCGCAGCTATTTATGGCTGGGAGTCTCCCTTACTAACCTCCACCTACCCAGGTTTTGATTGTGGCTCACTTGGATTTTCGGGTACGAGTGGTATACAAACCCCGTTGGCAAGTGGGTTGTTTTCCTCGAAATGGGAAGGGCAATACGACGCGGATTGTCAGTGGACCCTGGTTAAGCCCTAGCGATTGCGCCTTGCCGGGAAGGATTGACAGGTGTCTTTCAGGTCCACAGGAAGTCATTTGCTTAAGCCCCTGGGAGAAAAAAACAATAGTGATAGATTCCCTTTAACACCAACAGGGAAAAACATATTCATTTCAGCAAATGGAAGTTGCGTCTTGTATCCAACACATTCGTGCAGCTGCCACGAAAAAGAGCAGGAGTCTCAAGTCGGCAGTCCGCTGATTTTCAGTCAGGGGAAGCTGTGTTGTAACCTGACAGGCTGGGCAAGAGTCGTGGTGGGCCGGGCAAGCGTCGTGTGTCTGCTCATCCCAAGCCACAAGTAGGGGGCGTCATTTCCTAAGGACCCAAAGAACATATATATATATATATATTTATATGTATGTTTCTGGTGGTTTTTATTTTGGTGTCCCTTTAAAACCAGCCGCAGTCAAATTATTCAGTCCCGGCATAGCGCATGGTGAAAAATATGGCCCTGGCCTCTGATCTTTTTGATGAATTTTAGCTTGTCCGCTCATGCCCCAAGCCGCAAATTTACCATACCCTCGACCCCAAATCCGTCAACGCGCCGCATGAACAAACACCATCGCCATAATCCGCCAGGAGTCCAGCACTTGCTGGCCCAATTGTTTCACCACTATCAAAGTCACCCCCCAGTTAGTAGCTGAAAACCACCAACCAGTTTCTGACGTTGACCCAGCAACAAGGACCACGATTTAGGTCTGCAAACAAGACTGGAAAACGGACGTCAGGGGGCAGATCTGGTGCACTCTGGAAAGGGGTCGCAGGAGTGCAGTCTCCGCGGTGTTGGTGGGATTTGTGGTAAATTGCCGTCTTGTCTATTGGGGGCATGTGCCAGTCGCAGTCTCTTCTGCTGCTCTATTGCATTTCCGGGTTTCTAAAGAAGCAAACAAACCTCAACAAAAAAACGGGAACTATGTATATACATATATATATATAAATACATATGTATACATATACATATCTGTATATATATGCTACCCCCCCCCCCAGGTACCCAGGTTGATGTGCTTTGACCGCGGATGCAGGCAGGAAGAACAGCTCAGATTTGCACACTGGGAGACCAGAGGAAGGAGGTTTGCCTCATTGAAGAAAGACGCCTTGGACGTGACCCATGCCCTTTTTCAATGGCTCTTCCACACAAAATTCAATTCACATATCTTCCCATCTTTCAAAGGCTCTTCCACAGATAATTCACATATCTTCCACCACAAACCATGCCTTGTTTCGAAGACTCTTCCACAGAAAATTCACACATCCTTTCACCCAACACATGTCTTTTTACATGTCTTCTTTCAATGAAACAAAGGCAGCATATGTGAAAGAGTTGCCAAGGAAAGTGAACCCTGTGTAGAATAAAACCCGGCTATGGCTGGGACAGTTTGTGTTACATAAATGGTGGGTTTACATGATATTTACTGTCTTTTGCTGTACTTTTATGAATCACTGTAACCCTGACTCTTCCACAAAGACTCACATATTATCTCACACAAAACATGTCTTTTTGAATAACTCTTCTCTACAGAAAATTCACATATCCTCTCACCCAGAACATGCCTTCTTTCACAAAGGTTCACATATCCTCTCGCCAAAACATGCCCTTTTTCCAAAGGCTCTTCCACAGAAAATTCACATATATTCCCACACAAACCCCTTCTTTCAAAGACCCTTCCACAGAATATTCACATGTCATCTCACGCAAAGCATGTCTTTTCAATAACTCTTCTCTACAGAAAATTCATTCATCCTCTCACCCAAAACATTTTTTTACATGCCTTCGATCACAAAGGTTCATATATCATCTCACCAAAACATGCCTTGTTTCAAAGGCTCTTCCACAGATAATTCACATATCTCCCCACACAAACCATGCCTTCTTTCAAAGACTCTTCTACATAAATTTCACACATCCTTGCACCCAACACATGTCTTTTTACATGTCTTCTTTCAATGAAACAAAGTCAGCATATGTGAAAGAGTTGCCAAGGAAAGTGAACCCTGTGTAGAATAAAACCCGGCTACTGTAACCCTGACTCTTCCACAAAGACTCACATATCATCTCACACAAAACATGTCTTTTCAATAACTCTTTTCTACAGAAAATTCACATATCCCCTCACGCAGAACATGTCTTCTTTCACAAAGGTTCACATATCCTCTCGCCAAAACATGCCTTTTTTAAAAGGCTCTTGCACAGAAAACTCACATATCTTCCCACACAAACCATGCCTTCTTTCAAAGACTCTTCCACCGAATATTCACATATAATCTCACACAAAGCATGTCTTTTCAATAACTCTTCTCTGCAGACAATTCTTTCATCCTCTCACCCAAACCATGTCTTTTTGCATGCCTTCTTTCACAAGGAATCACATATCCTCTCACCAAACCCATGCCCTTTTTCAATGGCTCTTCCACACAAAATTCAATTCACATAGCTTCCCACACAAACCATGCCTTCTTTCCAAGGCTCTTCCACAAATCATTCACATATCTTCCCACACAAACCATGCCTTGTTTCAAAGACTCGTCCACGGAAAATTCACACATCCTCTCACCCAACACATGTCTTTTTACATGTCTTCTTTCAATGAAACAAAGGCAGCATAAGTGAAAGAGTTGCCAAGGAAAGTGAACCCTGTGTAGAATAAAACCAGGCTATGGCTGGGACAGTTTGTGTTACATAAATGGTGGTTTTACATGATATTTACTGTCTTTTGCTGTACTTTTATGAATCACTGTAACCCTGACTCTTTCACAAAGACTCACATATCATCTCACACAAAACATGTTTTTTCAATAACTCTTCTCTACAGAAAATTCACATATCCTCTCACCCAGAACATGCCTTCTTTCGCAAAGGTTCACATATCCTCTCATCATGCTCCGCAAATGTTGCGCGACATTTGGAATTTGTTGCGCAACATTTCCCTGGCCTAAAAAATATATTTAAAAAAAAAAAAAAAACAAAAAAAAAAAAAACGAAAAACCAAAGAATCCCAGCCATGGTGGGGGCAAGGTTTGGTTTTTTGGCTTTTGGGCTTTTTTTTTTTTTTTTGCTTTTTGTTTTGTTTTTTTTGTCCACAAAATGGCCTTGCAGAAAATGCATGAGTTCAATCAAAATACACTGTAAATATCGATGGTTTTGATACATGATGCAACAACACCTGGGTACTGGGGGGGGGTACCATATATATATATACATATGTATATACATATATATATATATATGTATGTATAGACACTACGTCCTGGGGTGTCAATCGCTTTACCCTCGGATCAGAGGCATGGAAATTCCCTCCTAACTGGGACCAATGGGACCCCCCTATGAACCTACCAGGGTTGTATTCATCCTGGGATCCTATTGGACAAAAACGTCAGATTATGAGAATATGTGGGGTGTCTTTTTTGAGGGTACCCTGGTTGGGATTGTCATAATCTAAGGGTGGAAGTACGTACCCCTTGTTCATATCCCTTGGCTTCCGTGGTTTCCAACCTACTTTATAAGGGGTGTATACCTTTTTTGGGGAGAGGGGTATGAACATCAGCAGGCCTTTTGGTTCATTTGCCCAAGGGGTATGTAAAAGGGGGATGTACAAGCACCCCTGGATATAAGGTTTCTCTAAAGGCAATCCTAAAGGAACCTTACTGTGTCCAGCCCACCAAGTAACAGCACCATGCCGAAGTAGCCGGTGGGGAGCTGGGGGCTCCTATCGCTTCCGAACCCGAAACACAAAGGTGATGGGCTGCAGTCACTGGCAAAACCTCGGGTCCAAAGAACAAACATCGGGGGGCAATAAATTGTCCTCCATTCGTGGAACATCATGGAAATCATATAAAACAACATCTTCCCTGAGTCTTCATGACCCTTTAAACATGGAGTCGTTACCCAAAATTCAAGGGCTATGCTCATTGTCTAGGGGTCATGGGAACTCCAGGTAGTCAATGGGTGAGATCGGTTTTCCATGTGATTCCAATTCAGAGAAACAGACAAACAGCCACAGAATCTTAGAAGATACCCATCCGAGGGAAGCACAAGAAGTTTGAAGCTCGCAAATGCAATTGGACGACAAAGAACGCTTCCAACATACCACTTGAGCATACCCCAACCCTGCGGGGAACCTAGGGGGGGAGCCTTGGAACACAATTTTGCTCTAAAAGGGGACCAAACTTTGGTGGGTGCCACGTGGGAGGGAATTTCTGAACAGAAGCTAAGGGGACTGGCAGGAAATCTTGTGACTTGCTGATTCTCAGCAAGGGAATCAAGGGGTTCTGGAAATGAACCTAGGGACTCAAGGTCATTCCCTGCTCAGATACAGCTCGGTGAACATGGGGCGTCTCAGACTTAGCTCGGTATTGTTGGTTGTTTTGCTCTTCCTTGCGTTTTCTGCTCTTCCTTCGTCCTTAAGTTCTCGTCCCGGTACTTGTTCTTTGTTCTCCTTTCCTTTGAAACCATCCCGGCATGCCCCGCCAAACTTCCCAAGGTCCCCGTCTCTCGGGCCCTTTGAAAGTGGGGGAACCCCTACTTCAAATCCCAAAAGGTTGACGGCTCGTTTTGGAGCCCAAATGTATGTTTTCTCCAAAAGCGAGCCCCCAAATCAAGCACAGTCCCTACCAGCCCCCCCCCCCAACATCCACCTCCAACCGAACAGGCCTTTATTTGGCCTTGCTTGGGCCATTTCCATCTGCGAGAAGTATGGGTTACCAGGCTAACTAAGCCCTAACCCTTGAGGCCCTTCAGGGAATCTTGGCCCCAGTTCCATGGCCTCAGTTCCATCCAATCAACCTTACTGTGGATGGACAAAATCCTGCACCACTTAAGAAACCCTGGAATGATGATTATCCTGTAACTACCAACTTATGGTTTCCCATGGTCTCAAAGTGGTGCAGGATTTCGTCCATCCACAGTATGACCCCCTCAGTGAAAAGCAACTGTGGCTGGTCCCGGCAACTGGGGCCCCGGCTCTTCGAAGTTGCGGAGGAGTTGAAAGGGCCGCTGCGGGAAGGTGTGGTGGTCCTAGGCTCAAATTTCCCCCGCTGAAACCTCCATAGGATGGATCTCCATAGGGGTCCCTGGAAGGATACATTTGGGCCACTCTAAATTTCACCTTTACCAGCTGATTTCAGGATCCCCTTCTGAAGCAGGCGGTTTTGAGTCGTATCCTTCTACTAGACCCCTGGAAGGTGTTGAACCTACGCGCCTTGTTGCGGTCCCATGACCATATGAAATGGGACTAAGCCTAGACTTCACCCTCCAAAAAGAACAGTCGAACCTGGGCGTGTCTATATTGAAGGTACCCTTTCTGATGTGGTTTTCAAGGGAAATCAATGCAAAACCACCATTTTGTGGGTCCCCGGAAAAAAAGAAAAGAAAAAAAACAACCAAAAAAAAAAACAACGCCCATGCGCTACTGTACTGTAAACCAAAGAGTGGTCAAGGGCTGGAGATATGCGTCAAAAACCAATTTGTGACCCCGGGCTCTTCCCCTCTTCAAGACAAGTTCGGGCGCTGTCTGCCGGAAATTGCCACACGTCGCTACCAAAGTGGGGGCTCCAATTTGGCGCTCGCCATGCTTTGTTGGTATGCTATTTGAATATGTTCCGAGCAGTGAGCATGTATATGGGTGTGGGTCAAAAATAGCCACCCAGAATGCAACCCTGGTAAATGGAAGCATGGACTAAAACCTGCGCGCCCTGGTTAATTTTGACCCACCCCCATATTTTGCTGCAATTCACGAAGCTGGTCTGAATCCACAAGCAAGGGACCTCCATGGGTAAGCAATGGCAATGGCTGGAGCACCTCGCAGCTTCTGCTTGTGCTTGGCCTTGCTTTCTGATTCCAATCAATCTTGATTGACGTTGGAAGGGGAGCAAACAAAATATTTTTAGCAGTTAAGTGGGGATCTCCCACTAAACCACAATAAGCAAAACTGTAAAATGTTTCCCAACGACAACCATGAAATCCTGAATGACCCCGGTAAGCAAATTGACCCAAGGGGAGTCCGACAAAGCAACGGATCTCTCGACTAGTGCGTATCAAACAAACTGTCGCGAGCGCCAAGCCCGGTTCCTGAAAATTGACGTTGACCACAAATGAACAAACCACTTAGTTCATGAATCGAAGTGTTCCCAGAGCAAAGGATTCCCTCCAACATGCGACACACTCCACTCATCAAGGGTCAACTGCGGGGTGGTTCCCGCTAAGCCACGTTCAAACTTGAAGCTTCTCGAAATCCTGGAGCCCCTTTCTGTTAGAATCTCAAGGAACCCTTAAGGAAACATAAAGGAATCCCTTGCTGGTGCTCAGGGAATGAGGGAATGAACTCTACCAACCAACTGGTGGTTTCCTTTAAGGGCACCCCCGGGTTCATTCCCTCATTCCCTACCTATTGCACCAGCAAAAATCAAGCATCGATACGGATCCGGATCCCTACTGTGGATGGATGAAATCCTGCACCACCGTTCAGAAACCCTGGAATGATTCGATTCCCCTGAACAAAATCAACCAACAATTTGGTTTCAACCATGGTTTCTGTTTTGCAACCATCCACAGCATTTCAAGAGTTATGTAGGTATGGGGCAAAATTGAACCACCAGGGGTTACGCAGGTTTTAGTCCATGTTTCCATTTGCCAGGGTTCTATTTTGGTACCGATTTCTTGAGCCACAGCCTTATGTCTCGCTGTGGCACGCTATGGCGTTGAAGCTTGAAGAGGATCAAGTTGGAGAGCTGGTGGGCGCTGTTCCAGCTGTGCCGCGGCGTTACCCTCTCATACTTCCCGTCCTCGTATCCGGTACGAAAGGTCCTCCAGTGGAGAGGTTAGAATAAGTTGGTACCAACCTTTTTCTGTAGTCTAGTTTAGTAGGGGAGCCCTCCCAACCAAAAAACGGCGAGAAAGGCCACTACTGCGGGACCTAGGAAAGGTGCGCCGGTGGGTCAAGGGTGAAATTACTTCCCCTCCTGCCTTTGCTTCAGGACGGATCGCCCGATTTTTCAGCGAGTGAATACAGGTGCAGTGGGTCAAGGGTTGAGGCTGGGGCCCCATTGAGAAGACCAAACGGAAAGCCTGTCTTGCAATATCAAACGTGACACAAACAGAAAACCAGGGACTAGGCTGCTGTCCTCTTGTCACACCACATGGGGCTTCGAAAACAAACGACGAACGTATGCCTCTGGCGTCAGTGGCATCTGCCTCGCAAAATTGCGACGGTCGGCTTGAAAGAGATTGCCGCTTCTGCCACTATCAGGAAGCATGAGGAACTCTCTGGTGTGTGATAGATAGCAACACCAACTTGGACAATTCACGTCAACTCACAGCCAAAAGCTGCTTTTTAACACCCAGGACCCTCTCATGGGTTGGCACCAAAAAAACACAAAGGAGACAGCACAACCGCGGTTAGACTTCCAGGATTGCCTTTGAACCACTCCAGTCCAATCCGGCTTGTTCGGCAAAGGGCCACGGAGCTTGCTGATGGGTTCATATTTGGTTCTGATGGTTGTTTTTAACCAAACCTTTCATGCTTGCCTTGCTGGGCTGCTGGAAAAAACTAAGCCAGAAACACCCCATTTTTTGGGTATCTTTGCTTTGCGACCAACCCAACACAGACACACAATCCCCATTCACTGGCCCCCCGTCCACACATGGTTTCCCTTAGGGGAACTTGTGGTTGGGTTCGTTGAAGCTACGCATGACACGAACACGAACCCGGCGTGTTCGACCAGTACGCACCGAGATGCCGGCAGCTTGCGCCGCTGCAGGCCGTAGTGCTCGATGTAGTTCACGGCTTCCAGCAACGTGATACCTCGGGTGACCGGGGAAGATTCGACTCCAGCGACAAGGTTGGACTCGCCTATCACCCCGTTTGTTTGCCCCCTGTGTCAAAAAACGAAGTTGCCCCAGCAAAGTAAATGGTTAGTTAAAAAAGAACAAAAAATCGGAAGGTACCCCAAGGAGGATCGACAAAGACTGTGAGGCGTGCGCGTTTGACTGTATTTCTCTGAACACTGGCCCACTATAGTGTCACAATCAAACCTGTGGCTGAATGGAAACCGACGAACTAGTGCACAGTGCCAGTCAAAACGCTCAGCCCAAGAAGCAAAGGCAGGGTCGAGGGCTTCTTTTGTGTTCACTCTCCGGGCCAACATGCTGTATTTCACATTTTTTTGTTTAGCAAAATACACTCGTTTTGGGTTGGTGGGTTGGTGGGTTGGCAGGCTTGCTTGTTTGCTTGGTTGCCTTGTCTGTTCGGTTGGTTGGTTGGTGGTTCATTGCTGGGTTGGTTTGGTTTGGTTGCTTGGGTTGCGTAAGGTGGGATTGGGTTGGGTGGGGTCGGGCAGTTGGTCTTTGTTTGTGTGATGAGTTGTGCCTGTGTGTGTGCAGGGGTTTGTGCACTTGTGTGTGCATGATGTACTTTTGAATATCGATTGGAGCTACATATGATAGACATAACTGAGAAACAACTAATCTGGGTCAGGGTAGGATGATATAAACTTGTCATCAAACCATGCGCATGACTAGAGTTAGGCCCAGTTGTAGAATGTATATCATATGGTTTGCTTGACTTTGCGTCACTGGCAAAATACGTAAAATAGGGGTTGATCAAGAAGTATTTTACATGGGATGGCCGTTGGGGGAATAGCACGATATTTCCGAAACAAGAAAAGTCCCCACCCGTGATCATATGCACAACATGTTGCAAGGTCCCTTTTTTTCCCCAACAGCTGACAACTTTGGGGTCTCAGCCCAGATAGGCTCCGGGGTGGTCCGGGGCGGCCCTGAGGTAAGGTTCCACGAGGGTTCCACGAGGGTTCGACCAGGGTTCGACCAGGGTTCCACCAGGGTTCCACCAGGGTTCCACGAGGTTCTGCGAGGGTTCCACGAGGGTTCCACGAGGTTCTGCGAGGGCTGCGGGGTCGTGATCACTAAAAAGAGCACTGCATGCTGTTGGGGATATCACCTGAGCTTATTATTGGTCCAAAAAACACTATCTTTGAAGACTCTTCAAGTCAGGCCCCAAGAGCCTTCCAGATCTGTTATTTGATCGCATTTTTAGAGACCTTGGAGCATTTTGGCAGGTCAGGACCCCAAAAAATGAAGATTGACCAACCAACTGTATCCCTTTTCCCCCAATATTGCAGCTCTCAGCCTCGGTGTAAGCTGTGCAACATTTACCTACGCGTAGAGGTCTGGTTGCAACCGGCCAGCCTTTCTAGTGGATCCTTATGGCTACTTTAAGATCACCTGCCCAAAGGACCTGGAAAAAAAGGAAAAGTTCATCGTTTGGGGTCGTGACTAAAAATGGGCCAAAAGAGGAAACTTCAAAAGGGAGAAAGGTCGGATCTGGAGAGATCTGAGTAAGCCCCTGGGACTCACACGCAACATTGGCGTGTGGGGAATCCAGTGAGCCCCCCCCGTCCCTGCACACGGACCAGAGACTGCAAACCATTTGGAAAAGTAGCTGGCACTGGTACCATGGAACAAGACCTATATGAACCAGGGCCATCTATTTCTCAGCAAACTCACCTAAAAAGGAATCCTACCATTCTGCATTTCTTGACCGACACATTGATCTTGGAAGCCAAAGCACCCACCATGGACTGCAGCAGGAAGAATGGAAGCACTCGCTTCAGCCGGCGCCGCGTCACCTGAGTTGCTAACAGCCCCTCTCGTAACCTGGGCAGGGCTACCTCCCTTTAAGAGGAACCGGTATGGGAACCAGGACAAGGGGTCTCTTGGGGTCCAGGAAATGGGTTCCCTCGAGCGACCAAAACGCCCTCGCTCAAGCGACCGCCTCCCCGGCCCCCGAGCTACGTGACCTGGGCCAGCACCACCGCCCACAGCGCTGAAGGCCCGAAGCTGCGCAGGGCGAAGAGGCCCAAACTGTGCAGAGGGCGAGCGCGGGCGCGGGCGTTGAGCGCTTCTCAGAACTTCACAACTGGGGGGGAAGGGGGGGATGGGGGGAAGGAGGGGAGGAGGGGGGGAGGGGTGGGGAGGCGGGGAGGTTGATCAATATTCCATTTAGCACCAACATGACCATGGGTACGGTACATTCTCCCATGTGGTGAAAGTCATTTTTTTAGGTTGTTTTCCCAATGGTCGGCCCATGTAAAGGACCTTTTGATCAAGGCCCAAATGCCCGGTTTGGATTCCTGCTTGCTGATGCGATAGGAAATGAGTTGGAATGACGTATTTTGGGATTCCCGAATAAAGGAAACCACCAGTTGGATGGTTCAGTTTGGGGTCATTCCATTTCTCAGTCCCCGCCTATCGCGCAGCAAGCCAGTGGCCAAGCTTGATTTTTCCAAGCGAACCCAACAAACACATCCTTTGAACAAGCAAACTCAAAAAAAAAAAACAGTTACCTGGAAAAGGTAAGATCACCTTTTGCGGTCATGACTAAAACTTTGACCAACACAGGACAACCAAAAGGTGAATCCGGATTAATAACCCCCGGGTTTTTGCTATGTGGGTGGGGGCCCCTAGGGGGCCCCTAAAGTGGTCTGAATCTCCAATAGAACCAGGGACACCCAATATTAATGAACAGGCGGATGTTATTCCGGGGTGAACATGTGTTGGATCTTCGGCTAACCCTTCGGCTATAACCCACTTTTACATACTTATAGAGTCCCCCATGAATGTGGGGTTAGCCTTGGTTCTAACCACCTACTGACTTGGCAGAACATCAGAGTAGCATTCAACCCCTTGCTGGAACCGTGGTAACATGTGCCACGGTCAATACTCCTCATCTTGCCTATGGTCGTGGTAGCAAGTAAAGGCGTCCTTTGACCTTGCGGCTTGTCGATCAGAGCCTAGCACCCTCCGGTGATACTAGCCTCAAACTACGGTGGGAGCTAAGCTCCGGGAATTCTAATATGGCTCCGAAAGCGATTGTGCCTACCTCGTTTGATAGAGGTCCTTTCAACCTCTGGCTCCAATGGTATATGGATGCATCCCTTGCCAACCTAAAAGTTGGAAAGGCGTCCTTTGACCATGAAACATGTGTTTGTCAACATTTGTTTGAATGGCTAAATTCATGGCTTATACCAGTATTTAGACTTCAAAAGGGCTCCCTCGAGGCTTGTTGATTTCTTCGAGTGCAGGACATGTGCAAACGAAAACACACGCCTGGGCCCGTGCATCTTCTACCCCAAAGGGCTAACAGAATTGGACCACGGCACGTGGTGGAGAAGCAAATCCGGTATGCTGTTTTGGCCTTGCGTGGAATGCCCCAAGGGTTTATGTCCAACCCGACCCAAGAAACACTCAGACTCAGTTCCGGGGAGACCGGGAAGGCCCGGTCTAAAAACCCTGCGTGTGGAAAGCCACCCGATGCCTTTCTAAGTGGGGCCATCCCCAGGAAACAAACCACTTTTCAGAGGAGCAGGGAAACCGGCATGCTAAAGAACACCTTCCCACATTGTGAATGGAAGGGCCGAGCCAAATACGGACTAGGGGCCATAAGACTAGTGACTAGTCGTATCCCTCTAAGGATAAATACGCACACCTGCGCATAAAAACAAAAAAAACTATTCGCCCGGGGGCTGAATAAACATTGCTCATAGGGTACATTTCTGGGTCAAGGGGGTTCTGCTGCAGTCCTCGTCCAAAAGGGCCCCCTTTTCGTGACTTGGGGTCGGCTGGAAACTTGTTCGTTCAGACATCGATTGCGTATTTGGCTATTTCAAATTTAGTATTGGAAGATTGTGGGTCTGAAAAAAAGAATATGTCTTGATAGGGTGCATTGTTTGATAGGGGGCAAAGATGACTTTGGGGGCCATGAAGGACAGGCCACAATCTTCCCATGGCTTTCCTTCTTGCTGGAGTTTTGGGAACCAACCTGGGGATTCCCTGTATGAAAACCGCGTCATTCCCTCCTTCCGCGCTCAGAACCAGCAAATAACCCAGTCGCAGACTGTAACTGACTTTTAATGGCCATAAAGGAGCCTTAAGGAGATCAGAATCTTGGCTGCCCATATTCTGGCTCTGAATCAGTATTGGACAATTCTAGTGCTACCTTCGGGATCCTTCTTTCTAGAAAAACATCCGAAAACCTAGGGAAACGACCGGTTTTCGGAAAGAACAATCGTTGGAAAGAATGGACAAGGAATCAACCCTTAGAACTTTTACAACTCCCGTCCCAAAATGCCGGGGATGCGCTGGCCTCGCAGCCTTGCCGCCGCGCCGCTGTCGCTCCTGGAAAGCCTAGACGCACGGCCCCACTGATTTAGATTTATACATATATATAAAAATATATATTTCTATGGGTGTGGCTCCAAAGTAAGCCACCAGAAAATACGCAGGTGTTGGTTCATGTGTCCACTTACCAGGGTTCCAATTTGGCGCCGGTTGTTTGAGAAATATGTAGTTTTACTGGGTTTACAACCCTTATTTATATCCAAACCGAGGCGGCCAAGCAGGGGGGTTGAAGACTTGCCCTTGTTTCAGCAAACATAGAAGAGGACAAAGGGTCGCAGGACGGTAGTCTAAAGAATAGTGGTTTCCCTTTTGGAATCCCATTGAACCAACCTGAGAATATGGTACCAACTCAAAAACACGGACGAGCTTCGGGGACATGTCCGGCAGATTCTTCATCTGGGTGTCGTTGTTCGAAGGCAAGCCCCGAATACGTGGCCTTCCTTCCATTCCTATTGGTTTCCCTCCAAAAATCAGGAACAAGTGGTGCTGTTGACCCATGGGGGGGTTGATTCATATGGGGTCAAAAATTACCCTTCAACAAAAAAGCACCCACCATTGGGAGGGGCGTGGGACGGAAAACTCGCCTGACCCACGCCTGCCAGGCGCTGCGGAAGGATCCCAGCAGCGTCCGGGGCAGGAACCTCAGGCGAACGGCGAGCTTCGCGCCACGTGGTTCTCCACGTGGGGGTTGGATCCAAAGGTCCACATACTCTCGGTTGCTTTCTGCTCCCGAAAACCCATTAGTTGGCAAAAAGGTAAAGTCCTAACAGCCAAGCAAAATGCAACAAGGTACTGTGGATGGTTGCGAAATCCATTTCGCATCACTTGGAAACCAGGGGATGCCATTACTTGGCATTCACAAAGAAAAATCATCGTAGGTGGTGCAGGATTTCGTCCATCCACAGTAGGATGACCATTGGTTGGAGAACCGCTAAGAAAGATATGAGATTTCAACCACAAGGGACAAGTTAGCCATAGTCAAAACTGGGATGACCATGAAGAAAGCCTCTAGAAAGATGTGGGTCAAAAATGGGGCAACCCCAAAACGGCTTGCCTTGCCAATGGGAACCCAGGACTAAAAAGCCTGCGGTCCAATTCCTGGTGGTTACAATTTGACCCATACCCACATAGGATGACCATTGGTTGGTAAAATCGCGGAAAAGAAGAGATTTCCCACATGGGGAAAAATGCTCATGGTCAAAACTGGGGGCCGAAGGGAATACTGCTCGACCATGGTGGCTGTTTCGAGGGTACCTGGAGTCTCCATGGGACCCTTCTGAAAATGGGGGGGAACAACAGGGGTGCTGGCCCCATTTTCGGGGCCTCCAGGCGCCCACCATGGGGCTGTTTTTGACGCCGGCGCTGTGGGCACATCACGGGGAGCAGGTGGGCTCATGACCAACTTGAGAGGAAACCAAGGCCTGGTGGTGTCCAATGTTTTATCTAGAACTTTTGGAGGTTCCACAAAAGGGAATGCCTCGGAAACCCTGGTTGAACCATGGCTTAAACAACTTGCTGGCGCGATAGGCAGGGAATGAGAATGAGGGAATGCCCCCCAAACTGAACCATCCCACTGGTGGTTTCCTTTCAGGGAATCCCCCAAAACGGTTCATTCCCAAGACCCTGACGGGTCATTCCCTACCTATCACGCGAGCCAAGAAAGGCCTTGGTACCCCAAAGAAGTGCGGCAAGAGGCGCCGATAGAAGGACTCCCCTTTCCGCGAGGTGGCGGGATCCTCGGGCGTCGCCACCTGGCGGGCGTGGCTTTGGATGGGATTTGGGATCCCTCGTGGTTTGGAGCTCGGTGCTTTGGGAAACGGGGGCAGTTTCACCGTGAACATCAAAAAATATGTTCTGCTTCCCTCTAACTCGTGGTTTGGATTGGTACTTTGGTGGATAAGGGGCAGTTTCCCATCTACTGGTCTCCACCCTCGCGCCAAATCAGATACCCAATCTTCAAAGGGTCTCTGACATGACTCCATTCGTTGACACCGTCCAATTTCCAGTGTCTTCACATGCGCAAACGGACCCAATAGCGCGGAGATTCATGTCAAAGGGCCACACCCCCGCTTTCTCTCCGCTTGTTCGTTCCCCTAAGTGTCCACTATTCCCCCCCCCCCTGCACCCTCCCCCAAACCTCCCCGCCCCCATTTTTTGCTAAAATCAGCTGCACAAAATGAGACAATATTTCCAGCCAGACGGGCTCAAACAGGATGAGTTTCAGCGGGAAAAAAACAACAACAACAACTCAGAAACAACTCAGCCAAAAAACTCGACTGAAAACACAGACTCAACACAAACAACGAAAACACTGAAACAACACAAGGGACGATTCAAAAAAAAAGAACAAACTCAGCCTTCAAGTCAGAAAAAAAAAAAAAAAAACTGAGAAAATCATCAGCCTTGAACTCGCTCCCCCGCTCGAGTTTGAGGCTGAGTCGGGAGTGTCTTCTGAGTTGTTTTTGCTGAGCTTTTCCGAGTTTTTGATGTTTCGTTCGAGTTTTTTTCGGAGTTGTTTTTGAGTTTGTGCGCTTTCTTGGAGAAAACTGCAGATTTCCTCCCCAACCAAGCCTCAGAGTTTCGTGTTCTTGCAAATTCCTGGATTTGCTGCCTGTGTGGGCGAGACCAGTAGTGGTAGATTCCCTGTAAATTAAGCCCAACAGGAAAAGGTGTTGTTGAATTGAGAAACACAACTCTGAAGCAAATGGGCGCCCTCCCCCAAAAACATCAGGCCTTCTGGTGGTGACCGGTAACGTGCTCGTCGGCCCAGTGCAGGTAGCACTGGTTCGTGAGCAGTCCATGGGCCAGCAACTGGCGACCCAAAAATCCGAGTCGACCCTTGGACCCGTGGAGCTTTTGTGTTTTTTAGGGGTGCCCTGTTGGGGTTGGTCTAAGGGCAAACTACAAGTTAGAATGGACATCCAGCATTTTGGGGGAGTGCCTATTTTAAGACACATTCACCTGGTGCTCAGGGCAGGGTTCTTTGGTGTGCAGGTGAGAAATATACGTCTTTTTTCACTGCCCTAATCCCGTTTTGTACGTGATTAGAGGTGAGTTCTGTCTAAAAATGGAACACCCCTTCGGCCCTTCGGTTCGGTTTAACGGAACATGAAAGGAGACCACCTGGATACCAGGATCAAGCGTTTACCACTGTCCACCCAAGCTTGCTCTTTAGGCATGGCTTGGAGCGAGCAACCCCTCATAGGCATTCTCGGATGCATTGGTAGAAGAACCACTGCAAAAAAAAAGGGATTCAGATGAGGGCAGTATCTCTACTTCTGTGAGTGTCACTCAACCTCTACATCTAAGATTACTCTTGAAACCGGCCTTGCGGGGCTGGTCCCAAACGAAAGCTTAACCGGCCACCACACCTTTAGGGGATATCTGCCATGCAAAAGCAAGGGTGTAGCAGACCTCACAATGGGTGGTTGCTGCTTCTACCGGGCCCATTCCGGATGGTTGTTGCTTCTCAAAATCAAGAACCTTTGACTCGAACGGTTGTGGATTAATCACAAGTCATGCGCGAAAAGCGCATGCATGCAGGCTACTTTTGCTTCAATGGGGCACGAAGCACAGGTTGGCAGGTCTAGTTTGAGCATCGCAACTGGTCACATGCACTTGTTTGTAGACAAAGTACAATGAGCTGCCCCAAGCAACATGAAGCATGTTAACACAAAATAAGGCCAGTGAACGATTAGCAACCCATGAATAAAGGCTTCCCCTTTTGCCTCCCAGATTCGCACCAATAAGTACTAAGGCTTGCCCAAACAACCATACCGAATCCTTTTTGTTCGGCCTCCCAGGTATGCCTAGAGGCTGTCTGAGCCTCATCGAGTGCAAAACCAATTATGGTTGTTACGATGCCATTGATCTACGAGATAATTATTTCTTTACCAGTCAAACAACATACACATTCTGAAAGAATGCAGCCAGTCGCTCCAATCTGAGCATTGTGTTGTTGTTTTCTTTCAGCACATCGAACGCATCTTTTTCGTTTCAACCTCCGATCCCCTCCCAAACCGGGGGCTCGTATCCTATACGTTGAGCAGTGCAAGTTGATTTTTGGTTCAGCATACTCCCGCGTTGCAAAAATGATTCTTGCGCAACCCGCGCGAGCCTCGAGAAGGAATAGAACAAAATGAGAGCCGACTGTGGGAAATGTGGCTAAGATATTGTAAAATCTGGGATCAAAGGTACCCGCCTGCACCCCCAAGCCAAGAAAACCTGCCAGAAAACGGGCTTTCCTATTTGCTAAGTATTTGCTTAGTCTGCGCTTGAACTCAGCCATACCAAGCCACGATTAAACCCCTCAAGTTTCCTCAAAGGTGTGCTTCCCGCAAATGCATATATCTTGCCGAAGCTTGCTTAAAATGACAAGGGGTGTTCAAGCTCACAAAGGGGAAATGCAGCCTCCCCCCCCAATAAAATAAATTCCCTGTTTCGATGAAGCAGGGCCCTTTTTGGCTCAAAAAGAAACGGCTGTTGCCATATAAAGTCCCTTTACTGGTTTACCCCGAAAGACCGAGCGACAGTTGCCTTGTCCAGCCACCGTGGCTTGTGCAAGAGCTCGTGCGCCACCTCAGAGCGGCGTTGATCGTGCTAAAGCCCTTGATCAATCTCTGTGAAACCAAATCGAATAAGGGATTCCTCTAATCAACAGTAAGTCACCCACCCAAAATCAGGGATCCCCATACACGAAGCTTCAGGGCGCAAACGGACTTCTAGGTTGCAATTCGACCTGGCCATGTGCGCTTCCTGAATCTCCCCCTCCTCACATGACTCCTTGCACAGTGCCTACAGAAGATATGGCGAAATCCAAATTCCATTCCCCAAAGGAAAATGCAACTACAAATGGAATCCCCCGAATTCAATTTGTGTCTCAAACTTCTCAAAACAATGGAGCTCACAACATGGTTGTGGGCGAACCCAACTAGACTTCTAGGGGATACTTCCCCATTCTTTCCAGGGATCCTTCTTTCCAGAAAACCATCAGAACCCCAGGGGAAACAGCTGGTTTTTGAAAAGAACGATGGTTGAAAATAATGGGGAATCAACCCCTTAGAAGACTGGCTTTGCCCCAAGTGCCCCTTGCATCTTGTTGGATGCAGTTCGACGGGCTCAACGCACACGAACAAAGCGACAGCGAAGACGCCGTTTGGCACGCCACAAGCGACAAACGGCTGGGCCTGGGAGCCCAACGGTCGCCGATAACACCCTGCTGTGTCCGGGAATCGTGTAGGGTTTCAATGGCAAGGTCCGTCCGGGCCGAAGCCGACTCTTGTCCTACCGGCATAGGAACCGAAGAGAACAGAAGCAAACAAACTTGTTTGGTGCTAGACTTGTGCCAATCGCGATCTCAAGTCATGGTCGCGTTGACGGCGCGATTTAGGCGCCTGACCCGGCAGAGTATCCTCCCCCAATCTACACATGCGCGGTGTCCTTGCATTGGGTAACCCCGCCAATTGTCGCGAACCCAACACCCAAATCTGGATACCCCGTTTGGAGTGGTTTTGAAGGGACCCCAAAAGGACCATCATTTTTGGGGGTCCCCCAAAAGGACACAGGCCTGGAGAAGCCATTGCCGAATCGAATCGAAGCGCAACCCCCGGACTCCGAGAAACAGTGATGCCAATGCCGCCGTTCCTTCGGAAGCGAACAAGCAAAGCACTTGGGTGTGGTCGGTGGGAGGCAGGGTGACAGACGAATCAAGGGCCCCCCGTCAAGCAAATGTTGGGGAACCAACAGAGAAAACCGGCAAAACAATTTGGGGGACAGATTGACCTACCCGAGTTTAGTATTGGCTCTGTATTGGCCAATATTGGTTTAGTATTGTTAGTTGTTGGTTTTCTGCCTGGAAAACTGATTCTCAACTTGTTCAATTGTATTTTTGAGCGTTTGGGATGGCCCTGTACTACAGGTACAAGGAATCTTGTTGGCTGAGCACTTTGGTATAAATAATATATATATATATATATACAGTAAGAATATGGAAGGAAAATGGCAGTTTGGGGGATGGGTGTTGTTTGCAAAGATCTTCTGACTTACTCAGAAGAACTAACTAGTGGACGCAGGTCAGAGCGGGCGAAGGGTTGGAACGTTGCCGGAGCTGTTTGTGGACAAATCACGTATTATTAGACACCCCTTTCAATTTGGGGTAGGGAATGGATTTGGCATACATGTGCTTTGTGTTTGGTACCCGTTGCTTAATCCGGCACCGACATTCCCTAACCTCCTGAGTGGATTGGCCAACAACACATGCACAGTATTCCTGTTTGCTTACCAGCCAATGGTTTTCCAGAAAGTATAAAGTCAAGTAACTCAGGGTACAAAGAAAATCCTCCAAACACCTGAAGCCTAGCCTTCTCTCAAACTCAAGCGATTTCACAGGCGTAAGCCCCTGTCAAGCTGATTTAACCGTGGGCCGAGTACTATAATTCCCAAATCGGAAGTAGGGGAAGCGGGCCTTAATCGTGGATAACCAGGCTGGTCGAAAATGCAGGTGAGTCCGTTGCAATTTGCCCAGCATTCTTTTCATATAAGCCCAAGATATCCACAATGCCTTCCATTTCCTTCCAGTGTAAAAAAAAAGGATCAGTCTTAGGTTTCCTCTTAAAACTGCGCAAGCTCCGGACTGCACATACGCCTTCAAGTTTCTGTGCACATCGCCCAATCTGCTGAATCGTCGAAAGAACTTCCAAACCATGACTTGGTTGCTGTTGACCCCTCTGCAAAAAGTTTAACTTGTTGTGGGTTTAATGGAAAACTCCTTGATTTTCCAAAAAGTTAAAGTCTAAAGATCCAACCCAATAGCAGTAGAGATGGCAAGTGCGTAATATACAACCGCTGGATGATAGCCAAGCCTATTTATGTTGCAGCATGACCTCCCCATGACGGAATGGCAGAATATCTCTGCATTTGAAGACAGCGGGGGCTGATTCAAAGGGAAACCAAAGCTTGGTTGCTGGACCCCCCCCAAAAAAAAAGTGGAAACCACTTTTTGGGGGTTTGGTACGGATCCGCACCAGATCTTCAACCAAACAGTTTTTTAGTCTAAAGATCCGTTGCCCAAGTTGTCAAGAAATTTGGCCGGGTTCAGCAAGCTCCTGAGATGGCCATCAAGACATCAAGGGTTTCATTGACTTGGTCCTGGGGGACTGAGAAATGGCCCCGCTATGAACCGTCCCCTATAGGTGTCCTTTTTGGTTGAAAATAGATGGGATCGTTTCCCTGGAAGTTGAGGGAGAACCAGGTAAACCAGGAATCGCCCCCCGATTTTTCAACCAACCACAAAGGACACCTATGTCCCATATGGTTTCCTTTCAGGGAATCCCTAGTACCCAACACCCGGAACGGTCGTTCCCTACAGCAAGCGTACCACCCTTACCACCAAATTGGTCTTTCCCAAAAGTATCAAGTCCAGAAACTCGGGCGGGGAAACGATGCTAGAGACATTGGACACCCAAATTGGCCAACTGCTGCTGCCCTACAGTGCCGGAAACCGTCCACTACGCAATTCTTCACAGAAAGCAGCTCAGGAGAGGAAGCCTCTAAATTTGAATTGGCCCACCGCTGGTCTTTTCTTGCGCTAAACTTTGATCGTGCACCATGGTTGTGTGGACCCCTTCTGGGATGTCATTTTGCGCCGCCTTTAAAGGCGGGCCGCCTTTAAAGGGTCAAGAGTTTTCACAACCGAACACAATCCCGAACTGCAAATTTATCATGCCAGCTCAGCTTCCTGGAAATGAGAAGTTGCTCACCTTGGGGGTCATGACTCACGGAAAAAATGGAAGATCGGAACACCAGGTGAAAAGGTTGAGTCACTTTGGACCAGGGCTGTGGTTGAAATGGAATCCACTTCTGTGACACAACAAAAAGGGCTTCCCAAAGACTAAGCCTCCATACAAAGGGGGAGATTCCCTTGCATCACAGAAGTGGGGATAAACCTTGATCCCACAACCCTGCTTTGGACAACTGAGGCAAAAAACAACCGCGAATCACACGTTGCCAAGCCACAGGAACCCCAAGATCATCGAGAGGGCCACCCGCTTCTGGAACGAGAGCTTGTTGGCTCCGCAAGCAAGACCTCTTGAAACCGCAGTCTGAGGTCGGGAAAACTGGGTTCCACATATACATGCATACATAAATGACCATATTTAATATACATATCATACAAAGAGAGAGAGAGAGAGAGAGAAACAGAGAGCGAGAGATCAAAATCGCCTTTGGTCATTTAAACAGCAAGTATTTCGCCACTTGAAGGTGAGTTTCCTTGTGGGGAGATGTTTAGCGGCCAATATATCACATGAGAAGCACAAGTTTGTGGACTTTTAGATTTTCCCCCAACCCCCAAGAAAAGGCAAAAACGGCTGAGTGTCCTTTGATGAGTCGGGGTAACTCCTGAAACACTACCCTGTTGCCTGAACAAACAAATGGGCCAGTGCCCTCAAGCGTGACCCTCAATCTGAGGGCTAGGTCCTCCATCTGTAGTCTATGTTAGTAGGGGAACCCTCCCCCCGAAAAAATTGGGGGACCCAGGAAGGGATCAGAAGGAACTGTTCAGTGTCTAACCAAGCTACAATCAAGTTTCGGAGCAAAAAGAAAGGAACTGCCAAAGGCCCCAGTTCCAAGCACCTGAAGTCCCATGGAGGGTGTCAAACCTGCGCGCTGATGGATGTTGATTCGGCGCTCATCCCATTTTAGAGACAAGCCTTCCATGACCGCACCCCTGTGGATGCACCAAATTCACGTCGCGCCAGCAGTTTACCCAGTGAAATCGTTCCATCCATCCCAAGTGCTGAGCGTGGGATGTTTTGTCCATATGCATCAGGTTGATTAGACCGTGAACTGCCCATGCGTCTGCGGATGGGTACCCTTTGATGAAAAGGTCCTCATTCGATCACCAGGGGAAACCGCTCTAGACAAGAAGACTTGCGCACGAAATGGGTGTTGAGGGAACCCCCCTAAACCGTCAATTTAGAGGGAACCCCCAAAATGGGTGTTGACCTTTGGTTCCTTTTCAAGCAACCCAAAAAGACACCCCCAAAATGGGGAAGCATTACCCATGGTTGTTTGGGGTCAGGAAGTTGATCAGCCCGGGCCTAAGGAACAAAAAGTAATGCGTAGGGCACTTGGCAACTTGGTCACCAGGTTTTCGACAAAACCTTATGGGGTACCTGTTCGTTGAGGGTACCCATTTCGGGGCGGTTGTAAAGGGAAACCAAAGGAAAGCCGCCAGTTGTTTGGGGGGTCGGGGACTTCACCTACTTTCAGGCACCCCCGTGTAAACTTTTATAATAACCATCTCAATAGAACCAACTTTTGAAGCAGGCAAGATCTTCCAGAACACGTTGTTTTTCGTTTTCGCTGCGGTCAAAGCGACAGATTACAGGCTAGAAGGCAGCCTCGCCAACATGGATCGCCGTGATAGGGGTTCTTGCAACGGCAAACTTAGATTTTTTGGAGCAACTCGGTGTTGACGCACGGCTACTCACTGACAAAGCAGGAATTCTGACTCGTGTTTGCTTGACTGGTACCTATTGGTGCCTTTGATCAGCGGAAAAGGGAGGCATTTGCTTGGCTCAAACTTGGGGAATACAAGTCAGATTTTCAGCTTGTATTTCATATGTCGACAAAGAAATTTGAAGACTCTACTTACACTCCTGTCCACTAACATGGAACCCAGAGCGTCTCGTTAAAGAGGAATTAAGCGGGAAATTATCTCCAAGACAACCTGCCCCATGTTCCTGGATGGGATGGTACCACCAGGTATTGTCAAACAATTACTACATCTAAGCGCCAACAATCGTACGATCTGCCAACCAAAATCTGAAGCAGGAATCCAATGAGAGTGCATCTCACCCAAACGTGTGCCATTCCCATGCGGCGAATCTTCTGACACGAATAATCGTGCATTGCCTCATCATTCTTCGAACAAACATCCAACTACGACTTATGTGTTTTTGCCCATATGCACCTGTCTAAAAAAATGCTTCAACAGCGTTGCACGTGCTGGCCATGCTTCAGGGCTCGTGCACCAACCATGCAAAGGCCGACAACACAGCCAGGAAGCAAGGACCAAACGGGTTCGCTTGCCACGTGCCTAGTTTCTCTTGACAAGATCCTGGATCTTGTCGTGCACGCGTCACGAATTAAATCCCTCAGCCCAGGGCTCATGTTCGCAGTCAATTGAATGAATTAAGGATCCTGCAATCTAAGCGGCTGAATGATCAAACGGAGGCTGGACTGCCAAAAACATCTACCTGGAGTCTCCATGACCCTTGCAAAATGAGGTCAGTACCCTTTGACCCAGTTTTGAAGGGTCATGGAGACTCCAGGTAGTCGTTACGGTTGCCGGGGCCAATCGGCTCCCATCCCATGTTTCATCCAGGCCACGAGTAAAGTTGAGCCTCAGCGCGACTCGGCTTCGAACAAACCAAAAAAAGGGCTGCGTGCCATCCACCCGGCGCTTTTGGAAACACCCGAAGTGAGAAGAACACCATGCCCCGTCGCATGTACTTCTCATTTCCATGGCAAAATGCATGGACGTGTCCCCCATTGGGGTAGTTTGAAGCCATAGATGACCTTGTGGAGAAAAACAACATGTTAGCCCTGTAAATGGGGCATAGAACCAATAGTGCCGATGTCCAACCAAGCTAACTTGAAAAGACACCTCTCCATACATTACTTGGGGTTGAGGCCCAATCCCGTTTCCTGCCCTAAACCAAAGGGCCCCCTCACAACCTTTCTCAGAGAGCCATGCAAGTGAAACATCGACCACACGCAAGGTCCACCAGTTGAACTGTCATCTGTCCTGGATAAACAACTCACCTTTACAGAAGATCCTTTCATTTCTTCTGGGTACTGTGTCCTTCACCAAGCCGTTTCCACCGGCCCCCTCGCTTTTCCTCACCAGGCTTGCAGAGAGAGCCGCGTCGTGAGAAACTCCGCGGCGGTCCAGAAGTACAGCGACATGCGGAAACGCAGGTCCTGCACCAAAACTGGGCCATGACCCCAGTCAAAAGTTTGAAAGGAGAAATCCTTTGACGCGTGTGGGTGTCTTCAACCGAGTCGTTCCTTTTCGTATCCCGCAGCCTAAGGCAAAAAACGGTACATAGTTTTCAGGGAAGAGGTGGTTCTACGCCTTTCTGCTCCATTTCAAAACCTATCCTGCAGTAGAGAGGTTAGAATACGGGTACCAACTTTTCTGTGGTCTATTTTAATAGGGGAACATTTCCCCCAAAAAAGAAAGGGTACAAGGGCACTGGGGGACCTAGAACCAGAGGCTGTTTCTCCGGCCCTACTGCGGTTTTTTGGGTTCCCACCCGCCGGATGGGATCGACGGGCCTTGAGGGCGCCGTGTTGGATCTGGGCGGTGAGCGGGTTGGACCAGTCATGGGCCACCATGAGCTCAAAACACGGCAGCACGCAGAAGACGGAGACCTGCGTCGACGCCGATTTCGGGACCCGACTCGTGACTAACTCACTGGCTGAGTGGATGGCCCAATTTGTTTTTCCAAACTTTAGGTTTACAACTAAAACAGTCTTCCCAAAAAGTTTAAAGTTGATGAACTCAGGACTAGGTCCTCCAGTAGAGAGGTTGGAATAAGGGTAACCGATTTTCTTTCTGTAGTCTATTTTAGTAGGAAAGCCCTCCTCCAGAAAAGAAACGGTAAAAGGGCACTGGGGACCTGGCGGGGGGTGTTTTCGATTCGGCCCCGAAAAGGCGGCTCTAAAATAAGAAACCGAGGACTGCAACGCCCTGGGGCGGGGACGCGAGGAGGGTTCTCGGTTGCTTTTGCTCCCCCGCTGAAAGTTTGACATTTAGTGGTTTGATGGAAGACCCATTAGTTGGCAAAAGTTAAAGTCCTAACATGCAAGCAACATGCAACAAAGGGTTCCAGGGGCAGTTTCAAGGAGGGTTCCGAGGTTGTCCGCCTGGTTCGGTTCGTCGCGCTGACCCCGGTCGGGCAACCGGCATCCAGTTAACGGGGACCGGGTTGCGGGGCGCCTCATGCTGGACATCACCATGTGTTTACGTTTATATGCTTTTTTTTGCTTTGGGGGGGGGGGGGTGACCAAAATGGGAATCGTGGGACCTTTTCTCTTGGGGATCAACTCATGTTTGTTGCAAATATCCTTTTCTTGGGGGCGGGTGGTGGGTGGTGGTGATCAAATAGTTATCAACCAATGTGCCTCAAATGGTATTCTTCTTTGGGGGAGTGAGGGAATCCGCAAATCAACAAACGTGTCTTGGTGCGTTGCCACCCTCTTTGGGGGGAGGGCGGGCTATTTATGAAGGTGTTAAATACGGGGGAAGGAATTCACGTTTGACTTCTCCCAAAAACAAGCGTGGAAGCTGGACAGGGCTCCCCAGAAGGAAGGAACATGGTCTTGCAGGAACCCCTGCGCAATTTCTATGTTTGTGTTTGCCCTTATTTTTGGGAGGGTAAAATCCGGAACATCCAGATCAACAATGGGGTGGAGTGCAGCGACGTCCAACTAGGCATATTGATTTGTATGTCCCGACGGGGGATCCTCCTTCTGGTGGGATGCAAAACGACAGCCTGCCAAGCATGGCACCGCCATGTCTCACGTGAGTCTGACTTTTGCCCAGGGCCCTCGGTGGCCATCATTTACACGGGAGTCCTGTCCAACATGGTTCAATGGTATGCGAAACATGAAAAACCACAGACATTCAAGTTGAACATCTCTTTCGCGTGGACATACGTTCGTGTAATGGTTGATCCTTCCGGTAGACTAAATGGGTGTGACCCAAAATGGTGGTTTGCCTTTTAGTTTCGGTTTAAAATCACAACAAAGGGGGGGGGGGGGTAGAAACTCAAAATGCAACTGTAGATGGGCAAGCTCGAAGATGCCCGAAACCGCCATGAAGTTGGGTTCGGCTCCCTTTCAACAAGAGGTAGGGGTACAAGACTACATTCAGCAATGTCCATGACATTAATCATTCTCACTTCCCGAGTAGATTGGCCAGAAAAGTCTAAACTGTTGTTTACCACTAAAGTCATCCAAACCCAAAAAGTGCAAAGTCCAGGAACTTGGGGAGTGACCATAGCACTCATTCCAATCTTGGCCAAGCTTCTATCCATAGGATGTCTTTTTGCAACGGCAAACTAATCTGTGTTCCTTTGTTCCAGGTGTTCACCTTACCTGAACTTGGATTGTGGGACATGAGTGAGAACCCATGTTTTGTCTTGGCAAGGCAGTGCTTTTTTCAGGTGTCAAAGTTGTCCAAGGCATGTGAATTACACTTGGCAGTGCAGCAAGAGTCGCTTGTTGCTTTGCCATTGTTCTCGACCGCGCCCGCCTTTTTGCGCTGAATCTCAGTTTTCATTTAGGTAATTCTAGGGGTTGATTCCTTGTCCATTCTTTTCAGCCATCGTTCTTCTCAAAAACCAGCCATTTCCCCAAGGTTTTTGGTGGTTTTCTAGAAGGAAGGATCCGTGGACAGAATGGGGAAGTTACCCCTAGAGTAATGCGAATTGGGCTGTTTGGTGGACATCATATGGAGATTCATGTCCACCAGCCCGAGGCTCGCGTTCCCAAGTAAGGATGTCGACTAGGAGTTCTTTGGTCCATGACGTAATGATTCAGCACGGAAAACGCGGATGGCACAAAACCAATCCCCGAACTTTTTCTAAATGGTCCAAGCACCAACTGTATTTTCTCAAATCATGGAGGTGTTTCTCTAAGGATACCCTGCACCCCAAAACCAACCGAAGGTCAACTGTTCAGTGAAGCACCCCTGTAGCTTTTCAGCCTTGTAGGGGTCTTCAACCGAAGTCTTGCCAACCCATTCAGCTTTTCTTTGGGCAGGTTAGAATAAGGGTACCCGTTTTCTGTAGTCTATTTTAGTAGGGGAACCCTCCCCCCAGAAAGGGTAACAGGGCACTCCTGGGGGACCTAGGGAAGCTTCCCCCGGGCATCCGAAATCCGAAATCGGACATCGAGGAATCGAGGCGCCAGCAGGCGCCACAGCCGCAGCACGGCGCGGCTGCCCGAGACATGGCGCAAGTGGAAGCGCACCGCCTCCACGCCTCAAGCGAAGCTGAAAGACCTGAAGGGCAACATGTGGCTGTGGCTGTCGAAAATCGGGTAACCCCAAAATAGAACCCTGGTAAATGGAAACATGGACTAAAATCCGCGGTCCATGTCCTGGTGAGTTAATATTGACCCACACCCAAGTCATGACAAGAGCTGAGCTGATGGGCCAAGAAAAGTCTGAACTTTTGACTAGAAAACCACTTTGGGCATAACTCACAGTGAGTTAGAACAAAAGTTCAGACGTGTTGTTTTCCCATCAACTCAGGAAGTGACTTCCGAACGAGTTGATGAGCCGACAAAAAGTCTAAACTGACTATTTGCTGCTAGAATGGTCCAACCCCCCAAAAGTTATAAACGACTGGGTCTCGAAGGCACAAACCCCCCACTTAGCTTTCCAACCCCATCAAACGGGGCCACCAAATTGGGGGAGGGATTTCGGGATTTCGGGGTTCGTGTGGCTTTGGGGCCAAGCCCGATGGCCAAATCCCAAGTCGAAGGCCCAGAGCCGGCGCATTGCTGGACCTTCTGCGTGCATCGGACGAAACCCAAAAACTCAAGCTGGAGAAAGTCGAAATTGCTGGGTCCTCAGATCCCCCGCTGGAAGTGACTAACCTTTGGTGGGTTAAAATGGAAATCCCCACTAAACACTCGAAAGCTGAGAAGCTAAGGTGATGGCTGGGACCACCAAGTATGGTGTGTGATGTTTCACACTCCCACTTCACAAGCCCTGGTTCAATACTGCGCATTTTTCTGACCCACTCTGAGCCATTGCTTGAAAGGCAGGCTCCGATGTTTTTCTTTTTGAAATCACACATTTTGAAATCGCGCCTGCGGGTGCAGATGTTTTGCCTTTGGACTCATGTCTAGGAGCTCCGGAGTTTTTTTTTTTTTTTAACTCTCGGCTGGGGGTCAGGGTGGTTTTTTAACCCTGCGGGCCCTGTTGCTGTGTTTTTTTAATGTCACGCCTGGGGACTCCGGTGTTTGTACCTTTTGATTTCACGGTTCCCCCAGGCCTGCTTTTTGTTGTTATCAAAAAACAAGACGGGACCCCCAGGCGTGCTTCCAAACAAAACACCGCGACCCAGAGCCCACGGGCGTGAATTCAAAAGGAAAAACACCGGGACCGTGATGTTTTCTTCTTTGGAATCACCAGTTGCTCACTCACTTGCTTGCTTGCTTGCTTGCTTGCTTGCTTGCATCGTCCACCATGATAATCCAAAAAGAGAATGTTTGAAACTACAAAGGCTGGTCTGGTTCCCTTCAAAGACATCCACAAGGTTTTAACAAATGGCTGTGGCTCAAAAATAGGTACCCGAAATGGCACCTTGGCCAGTGGAACCAAAGACTAAAACCTGCGTAACCCTGACTCTTAAATTTTGAGCCACACCCAAATAAACCATTCACTCCGCTTTTGCACTCACCAAAGACCCCCATTTAAGCCGCCCGTGTCTGCAGGGCAAACATGACAAAAAACTGTCTACCGAAACCCATGGCAAGCAATCAAAAGGACGGCTCTTACCATGCCATTTACGGTAAGGGGATTATGGTCCTCCAAAACGCCCGTCTGGTTCCACGCTAGGTGGCTTGCCCACATGGGCATGTTTAAAAATTCGGAACCCCCCCAAATTGGTGGTTTCCTTTTTGGTTTCCCTTAAACCACCGAGCTTGTACCCTTACAAAACGACACCCCCGCATTGCTTTCCGGCTCAAAAGTTGAGCACCTCGGGCTGATGTTTGGGCCGTCAAACAGTTTCCGCAAGCAGACCTGGTGAAAGGGCAATTATTGCACCCACAAGGGGTCAACTTAAAATCCATTCGATGAAAATAATAAATCACACGCAAGGTTATTCCCCCCAAAGCTGGATGTTGCTAGTGTCCATGGTGGACCGACCACGCCACCCAAGACCTGAACATATCACATATATTCCAGGACTCCAGGCTTGTACCCTCCCTCGCCATGCACATTGACTGGAAAACCCTGGTTGCCATGCTCATCTTTGTGGGCTTAATGGCAACGTTGAGTGCGCATGTCATCTGCATCCTTTGGAGGCCTCGGTGACCAGTTTCCTCCAAGCGCTTTCTGGCTCCATAGGTGGGTGCTAAAAACACAAACTTGAGCTGGAGAATTTGTAGGGACATTTGGGTGAGCTGATTCTACCTTCGTTGAGGGTGCAATCAGCGCACATGCGATTCCCTCGAATGGGGAACCAGTATTGATAAGCACTTTGTTAATCTATGGCAAGAGTGCAACCCTTGTTTTGGGCGGGGAAGTTGCATCCCACAAATGATCCACGGCGTTGATTCATCCGGGGGTCTTTCCACTTGCAGCCAACATGTTGCTGTTTCCAGAGAACTCTGGTGAATGTTCTGTCACATCCCTGAAAATCAACACTACACATGACTCTTCCACAGTATGCAAGAAAACAAAAAAGCACCAAGGACGATGGGACCCTTTGAGACACAAACCACACGCTATACCTAAATAGACGGGTTCCAGCTCCCGAAGTTAGCTCTCACTAGGGGCGACCTAAAAACTTGGGGCCTAAGGCCGCTCTAGCCTTTTTCGGCCATAGGAACACCAGAACCCAACTGAGGGTGAAGTTCTATGAGGGCCCTTTGGTGAGCTGGGGATTCAAGCGATTGTAAGGTGGCTCCAACTCCGAAAGAAAACATAGCCAACGGAATATCTGTGCACGGCGTGGTCTCCAAGAATGAGGTAACCTCCCTTCGCACAGCCCCGTGTTCTTGTCTTTGCATGGGACAAGCTTCGACAAAGCTAGTTCGACCCATCCGAGGAGCAGAAACCCACGGGGAGCAAATAGCAGGGCAGCGCTCCTCCAGGACTCTGAAGTCTCGGTTGCTTTCTGCTCCCCTGCTAAAAGTTTTCAACTTTTAGTGGGTTTAACACGGAAAACCCCATTCGTTGGCAAAAAGTTAAAGTCCTAACATCCAAGCAAAATGCACCAAAGAAGTGGTTGACTGGGGTGAAACAAGACGACATGCTTTTCTCGTAGGTTTCATCCTCCCCTTGCCGACAGGGACGTGTGGCCATCTGCGTCCCTGGTCCATGAGCAGCCAGAATATTGCGATGCTGCTTCTCCTATCATGACCTCGTGTGGTCTTTGAAGTAGCCCAGAATCCCATTCTGATTATTCAGGCCCTTACGGCTGTACAACCGGGCTGGTCTTTGACCCGAAGACAACAAGTGTTCAAGCAAATGTATTTCATGTAGGTCAATCCAAAAAGCGCAACAATGATCCATTTGCTTAAGCCGCCGGGAGAAAACGAGCAAATTTCCCAGTGCCGAGTTAGATTCCCATGGGCTCAGGTACAGGCCGGAAGTCGGAAGTCCGGCCAAACAGGTCCGAACCCTCGGAGCTTTCAGACCCCGAGAACCGCTTTCAGCGCTTGGAAGGAGATGTACCCAGTTCAGCTTAAATGGAAGCGAAAAAAGACGCCACATCCAAGGTAGCCTGTAAAAAAAAGACAGATTGACAAACCCAAAGAACTGAGCCTCTGGACTCTTGGATGCTGCGGAAAACCCCCTGCAAAAAGCTTTCAAATTTTTGGGGGGTTAGTACGGAAAACCCAACTTGATTTCGACCAAACAGTTAAAGTCTAAAGATCCGTTACCCAATAGCAGTCAAGGACTCTAGGCCGTTTCCCTTCTTAAAAGGCTCCCTTACCCCCGAAGAAGACGCCCAAATTTCGGATCCTCGCCAGCTGAGATCCGCCGGTGCGCCCTGGATGGTATGGAAGTCCTGGCCCTTGGTGGACACCACCTGAGCACAAAAAAGTCGTCGGTGGGTTCCTAGTCTGACAATGGGAGTGTCTTTTGAGGGTACCCCTTTTTGCGGTTTTACAGGAAACTCCCAATTTGTAGTGGGCCCCCCATTCTCGTCGCGGAGCAACTAGGTCCTCCAGTTTTGGAGGTTAGACTAAGTTGGTACCCGATTTTTTCTGTAGTCTATTGTAGTACGGGAATCCTCCCCCCAAAAAAAATAAATAAAAGGGCACCACTGGGGGACCAAGGAATGGCAGCGGTTGCCAAGCTTTCCTTGGATCCTGGGTTAGCTACCTAACACTGTCCCTTTGCTTATTCCCCCCTGGAAAAAACAAAAAAATTACACCAGCATAGACCCCAGATAGCACACCACGGCTACGAACCATGACGCAGCATCATAATGGTTCCCGCGGCATGATAATGATGATGTTGACAGCATCTTGATGATGTTGACAGCATCATGAAAATACCACAGCTACTCACAGCATTGTGCGCTACATAGACGCGCAGACAACGTCCTAGTGAGTCCGTCAGCAAAACAATGATGTGGACAGGATGATGCTGATACACCAGCCACAAACGATTCCGCGCTACATATCTAGCAAAAGAAAGGCAGAGACGACGTCCTGATGAGTTCGACAGCATCATGACGATGCGGACAGCATCATGATGATGCTCACAGCATCATGGTGATGGCGAAGGCAGCATCTTGATCATACCATAGCCACGAATCATCTTGCGACAGTGTAATGAAATTCAGCATCATCCTGATGTTGACAGCATAGTGACTATGCCCGCCACCACACCCACGAACCATAACGCGGCGCCGCAGCGATTGCAGCAGCATCATAACGTGGTTGACAACATCATGATGATACACCAGCCACGAACCATTACGCGCGACAGTTAGAGCAGCAACAACGTCCGAATCGGTTCAACAGCATCATGATGCTGCTGACAGCATCATGATGCTGCGGCCAGCATCATGATGATGCGACAACCACGATACCCCAAACAGCACCCGCCCTAGCACCCTGCCATCCATCACCAACACCCGAAAACAGCAGCCCCAATAGCACCCCAACGCAGCAGCCCCAATAGCACCGCAACGCAGCACCCGCGCCAGCGCCGGACACGTCCCCGAGCACCCTGCCGTCACGTACTGTCACCAGCACCTGAACCTGAACCGAACAGCACCCAAAACCGCACCTGCGCCAGCTCGATCTTGCAAAACAATTTCCCTTCTTCATTAGAAGTCTATAGTTTCCAGCTATCTGGGAAATAAGCCCACGCGGTCGGCTGCACCTCCAACAGCAACACAAAACAGCACCTGCACCACCACCCCAAACTGCATGCCCCCCAGCACCCGCCGGCAATCTCCGAAAATTGCGCCCACAACGTCCCGCTGTCCATCAGCGCCCTAAACAGCACAGACACCAGCACCGTAATCAGCACCGCAAACTGCATGCCCCCTAGCACCCGGCCGTCAGTTTTGCAAAGCGGCACCTCCACCAGCACCCGAAACTGCATGCCCCCTAGCACCAGGCCGTCAACCTTGCAAAACAGCACCTCCACCAGCACTCCAAACTACATGGCCCCCTATCTCGCAAAGCGGCACCTCCACCAGCACCCGAAACTGCATGACTAGCGCCTGGCCGTCAATCTCGCAAAGCAGGACCTCCACCAACACTCCAAACTACATGCCCCCACCAGCGCCTGAAACTGCATGCCCCCTAGCAACCGCCGTCAATCTCGCAAAACAGCACCTCCACCAGCACTCCAAACTGCATGCCCCCTAGCACCCGGCCGTCAATCTCGCAAAGCGGCACCTCCACCAGCGCCCGAAGCTGCATGCCCTCTAGCACCCGGCCGTCAATCTCGCAAAACAGCACCTCCAGCAGCACCCCAAACTACATGACCCCTAGCACTTGGCCGTCAATCTTGCAACACAGCACCTCCACCAGCACCCCAAACTGCATGCCCCCTAGCACCCGTCCGTCAATCTCGCAAAACAGCACCTCCACCAGCACTGCAAACTGCATGCCCGCTAGCACCCGGCCGTCAAGCTCGCAAAGCAGCACCTCCACCAGCACCCCAAACTGCATGCCCCCCAGCACCCGGCCCTCAATCTCGCAAATCACGTTCCCTTCTTTATTGGAAGTTAGAACCCCTATAGCTTTCAGCTATCTGGGGAACAAAAAACTTTTCCAGTAGTGATAGATTCCCTGGTTTCTAAGGATAACTGGTCTCCAATCTAACCAACCAAACTGGTTAAACTCCAAGCATGCCAACCTGTTTTTGTTTAAGCTGGTTGGTTGGTTGGTTGGTTGGTTGGTTGGTTGGTTGGTTGGTTGGTTGGTTGGTTGGTTGGTTGGTTGGTTGGTTGGTTGGTTGGTTGGTTGGTTGGTTGGGTGGTCGGGTGGTCGGGTGGTCGGGTCGGTTGGTGGGCGGTCGGCCGGTTCGTTGCTTGATTGGTTGCTATCGAGTCGAGTGCTTGCAAACGGAGAATCGAATTCGAGAGGCGCGAATTGCCACTTGGCCATGGGTCAAAATCCAAATCGTACCCCCAGTGAACATCCCAATCCCCACTAAAATAGACTAAAATGGGTGGTGCACCTACCCCAAAATAGGATCCCATTGCTTTTGACCCACAGCCGCGTTTTCTTCGCCGCTGAAAGCACAGACCTTCGACCCTCGACTTGACCTGGTGTGGCACCAGGAAATGCAGGGATCAAATGGCTGCTCCTAGCTGCTGTTCGGGCTCTGAAAAGAAAACAGCCCACTTAGGAGGGGGGGCCCAAGTAGTGAACCTCTGCGAAACCAACAACTGCGTTTCGGATTTGTGATGGGACATTGGAAAAAGCCGCCCTTGGACTCTGGCCAAATCCGATGTTCCATGGTAGTTGCCCCCCCGCCCCCCCGAAAAGGGGTGGTGTCCTTTTCGGTTCATTGGTGGTAATAAGACACGCAACGGAACGCGGTTCTAACAAATGGGCTCCATTCTGAGCGGTGCGAATCCGTTCAGTACAGTTGTTTGCCTTCCAAGGGACATTTTGTCCAACATGTTTCTCAGGCCCTGCCAGGGTTGCGTCCTTGACTCGACTGTGAAAAAAGGCATACCCTCGACTCTTCCCCAGTGGTATGTGGTTGCTGGGGGCGAACAAGTCGAGCCCCACTTTCAGGTCACCGGTGGGAAACCCACGGGAAAAGGGAAGGAGTGGTTGGCCAATGGCCAAACCTGCACTGAACATTGGGCCTTTTTGTGACCTGAGCGAATCACCTCTCCAAATTTCCAATCATTCAAAATGCACCCGTGAAAAGAATTGGATCGAGCAAAGCACCTTCATGGGCGACGGCTTTGCCCAGTCGCCCAGAAAGGGCAGGGTCATTTGGACTGCTTTCGCGCCTCGACATCCTGCTTCGCTTTGGAAGACCGGAGCTTCAGCATCTTTGAGAAGAAGATCCTGAGCGACTCACGGCCCAACACCCCCAGAAAGCTAGGGCTCGTCTGGGTCTTGTGGGACTTTCAGGGCTCGTTCCTTTTTTGGCCCTCCCAAATGGACCGCAGGGGAAGATTGACCAAACCTCACATGTTCTGGGACATTGGGGAGCTCGCGAATCGTTCGTTTGTCGCCAGGTTTGTCATTCAACTGACTTCAAGGAACACTTCTACATCTGCAAACCTGGCCACAAACATCTCTGCGAGTCATCGTCAAGCTTCCCATGAGCTCATAAGCCTTGCTCCGAATTGAGGTGCCAGGTGCCGATATGGACCAGCATCCGAAATGACGTGGGTGTTATTTTGGTTTCCCTTAAAACTTCAAGGTGAGAAGGGCGAGCCTCAAAAAGCGACACTTGCGAGGAGTCCTTTAGGAGATTGGCCAACGGGTCCATAGGGGAACCCTTGGCTTCCTGAATTGTTTCCCTTTCCACGAAACCAAAGAGGGATCTCCACCTGCACTTTGTCGGAGACATTCCCTGTTGATGCTTAATTTAGTGCTAACGGGAGTTAAATCTGGATGCCCATCCGGCAGGCAGGAACCCAAGCAGGGAACCAGCCCCATTTTGGAATTTAGAGGTTCCCATACCTGGCCACTTTTTTTTGGGGGGGGAAGGGGGGCGGGGGGGGGGGGGGGGAGGGTGGCGGGGGCTCCTTCTTGCTGTCGTAGACTGGCGCAGATGCACATTCATGTTTCGTCTGGTATGCAGGGAGGCTGTGGGAACACGTTTTGTATATTATGTCCAGACTAAAGCAACGTGAGCGTGTTTCTTGAGCGGGGTACTCTTTTGGGGGGACTTGAAGTGCCCCCTTTCACACACGCGCACACACATTTGTCTGTTCCAATCATGCTGAGATCAATTGCCCCCTGGCAGCCTGTCAACGTTTCAGGTTCCGTGGCTTTGGTTTTTCCACCCCCTGCTGCTGTTTCATGAAAAGCAACATAAAGCAAGCCAACCAGAAGGGACTCTGTTTCTTCATTTTTTTTTTTTAAACAACACATTGTTGGGGTCCTTTTGGTACAAGAGCGTCTCTGAGGACGTTGTGGAGAAATGAAAATTATCGTACCCTGGAGATTCTCTTGTACCCCACCCATTTGAGTTTGCCTAAAGTACTAACCCACAAGTCTACTGGCAGGTCGAGAAGCCCTGACAAGCTCGGAGGTGAAATCATCAACATCTCGCACAATCTTTGACCCCCGAAATGATGCCCCCCAAAACACAAAACAAAATGCTGAGAGCTCTTTGTGAGCAAAACATGAGCAAACATAACATATGAGCAGTACTATATAGCGAGCGGATCCCAGGCAATCCAGTATAGGCAACCCTTCCCCATTTTGCTTTAGCTTTCAATCATTCCCCTTGGTTATGCAGGGAAATCGGCCTTTTTCGGGAATCCGCACGAATCCATTCGCGCCTTTTCTTTCTCTGCAACGCGCGAATCTGCTGGCCGGAGATGCCACAGGGCCCGGGCGGGAGGCAACCGGAAAGCTTCAAAAGGGTTTTTCAAACAGATGTGTCTTAGAGGGCACCTGCAAATTTGGTGGTGTTCCTTTTGATTTCCTCCCTTAAAGGGTACCCTCAAACCAGGACACGGTCAAATGGTTCCGTTCGGCGAAAATTTGGGGCCTTCGCCACCCCAACCATTAAAGGACACCAATTCACAGCTTTGCCTGGCAACGAGTCATTGGCCGATGAGATGAAACCAATTCCAGTCTTGAGCTGAAACGACGGGCGTACCCCGTGTCAACAAAATGTCTACCCATGTGAAAACCCGGTTAAACAATATGATCCTTGGCTTTCTTGACACCTCAGGGTCTTGCGGGTGTTGCAGCCGGAGACAAAGAACGGCCTTCGCGACAATGTTAGTTAGCTTTCTTTTTTTAAGGGGTGGGGAGTAGTTCGCGGGTTCAGACCAAAAAAAAGGAACCCTTCCAGCAAATAACCGTATAGATTCGTACACGGTGCCTCTCGTTGACTCAACTTGTAGCAGTGACAGCAGTTTAGCTGTCATACGGGGGAAGTCTTTGATCTCACCAAATGGTATAATTCTGTGCTTAAGGCTTAAAGAGATGCTAATATCTTGAAGCCAGTACAGGGACCAAGTTCCCTTTCTCTTGCATGTTCTGCAACCAGGTGTCGATTTGTGAGAAAAGGTGGCACTGGTAAATGGCGAGAACCAAGCTGAAACCAGTGCCATCTATGTTCAACCAAACCGACCTTCAAACGACACCTGTGCTGGATCCTGCCCCCAAACACTAACAGACTAACAGCCACCGCGGTTGACGCCTCCGCCGCGGGCGGGCTTTCGCAGGATCGCAATATGCACTATGCCCCCCGGCACCCAGCTCCCAACCACGGCTTCTTCCCAGGTCCAAAATCCTGAGTGCTGTCCAGAAGCTCCTCCAGTAGAGAGCTTGGAATAAGGGCACCAACTTTTTTCTGTAGTCTATTTTAGTAGGGGAACCCTCCCCCCAAAAAAGAAACGGTAAAAGGGGGGGAACTAGGTTGGGTGCTGGCCAGTCCCTCCGCGAGTTGCGAGTTGCATTGGCTCAGTCGTCCACGTCGAAGCAGCTGCAGCAGTCGCCGCAGATTTCCAGCGGATTCTTCTGCTCAGCGAGCTCCCACACGATCCATCCATCCTGATCCACCAAAAAAAAAGTGGTACCATGCTTGAAACAAGCTCCCCGTTGGTTTCCCTGTTGATTTCCTGTTGGTTTCCTGTTGGTTTCCCTTTTATACCAGCCCCAAAAAGGGACCCGAACAAGAAGATCTACCCTCCCAGCAATTAACATGGTGTTTGATGTTTCGGGGGGTCCTGGTTGGGACCATTGCCTTTTAAAGGGACTGATTGGTCCCGAAAGTCAGGCTACGGCTGGAAATTCGGTGGGAGGGTAGACCCATCATAGTTGGTTTCCTGTTGGTTTCCCGTTTAAGCCATGCTTGAAACAAGCTCTTGACTTTCACGAGAAAACAAAAAGAAGACCGGACTTGCGTTTCCTGCAACGTGTGAGCTGTTTGCTGGTTGAAAGGAACGCGGGGCTAAGCAGGCAAGCGCAAACCGCTATAGTCCAATAAGCATCACTAGTGGTGAATCCCTGTATTTCCCGGCCAGTGCCCACAGCCCCTAGACTTTAGTTTAGCGCAGCTTTGGGGTCCTCTTGAGTTTCTCACCGCTTTCTTTTGGTAGGAACCCAAGCCCCGACCTCGAAATAGTTGCCAATGCTCTGGTTTTGCATAAACTCAACAGTACGAAATCCATTGGCGGTCATGTATCGGCCCGATTCCCACCAAACAGAACTCCTGGACTGCTGGCAACGTCTTAGAGGGGGTGCGGCGTATTAAAGAGGGTCCAACATTAATGTCTGGAGACGATTAGTAACCCCCCCCCCCATAAAAGTTTTCCCCTTTTCCCTCACCAATATTAAAGTTAAGGGCCAACAAGGTTTTCCCAAAAATAACCTACCCAATTAGTTTTGGGCCCTCCCCAAAAACCCCCGATTAAAGGTATCCCTCTGCAGCCCCCGAGCCCAAACAAACTGCCAGAAAATGGACTTCCTTCTTGCTTAGTGCTTGCTTAGTCTGTGCTTAAGCCCACCAATACTAAGTTACTATTGAACCCCTCAAGTTTTCGTCAACCCCAAAATGCATTTTTCTTTATTGAAAGTTGTTAAAAATGACAAGGTTGTCAAGCTCACGAAGGGGACCCGTCCTACTGCCCAGAAGGGGCCAGAAGTAAGAGGACGAGGAGCGAAGGGGCTCGAGATTAATCAGGGGGGTGCTCCCAAAAATCACAGCTTTGGGGACTCGTCCAAACCTTGTCGACCTTGGGGGGGGGGGGGACAGGGGTTTACTATTCAGCTGTCACCATTACATGTGGCCCTTGAGCAGCTGGTCAAGGCGATCCCTGGGGTTCCTGGCCCCCATCAAAAGAATGGCCTTGGGACCCAATTTGGATGATAACAACCCTGAGTTCAACAGTGGTTATATGAACCCATCCATTCTTTTCATGGTGGCAACTGAACCGCAGGGTGGTTATTCTTCATTTTCAAGGGAACTCCGTGGTCCCGTTGCATTCTGCCCAGCTTCCTCCGTGTGCTTCACGCCTTTGGAGCAGCAATAGACCGCCAGGTTCTTTCGCAGAGAACCGGAGAAGGGCGAGCCGAGGTTAGGCGCCAGACTCTTGAGGTAGGAGATGTTGTACCTGGCTTCAAGCTGATTCCGACTTTGAGCAAATGGGAGATCTTCTTCTTAGGGGCCCCAAAAAGAAACCAACAGGAAACCAACTGTGACGGGTTACCTGTCAAGTTGATTCCAGCTGGCTTTGAGCAAATGGGTCTAGATCTTCTGGCTGGGGTCCCTTTTTGTGGTTTCAAAGGGAAGCCAACAGGAAACCAACTGTTACGGGTCTACCCTCCCACCCAAAATTAACAGCCGGAACCTGACGTTCGGGACCAAAAGTCCCTTGAAAATTGTCCAAACCAGGATCTTCCCTCCACCTCCCCCCCCCCGAAACGTCAAGTTCCATCTTTATTGGTGGGAGGGTTCCCCCCCCCGAAACGTCAAGTTCCATCTCAATTGGTGGGAGGGTAGATCCTGTGTCGGGGTCCCTTTACGGGCTGGTAGAAAGGGAAACCAACAGGAAACCTACGATTTTGGGGCCCACCCGGAGTCGCCCGGTGACTCCGACTCAGGAGCCTCTCTGGGCCCTCCGACCCCAACTCTTTCAGCTGACTAAAACCGAGGAGCTTTGTGAACACGAGTCGCTCCAAAAATCAAGCGTGTGCTTCCATTTGCTTCAGCCCCATGGGACCAAATAAAAGTTCCAGTAGTGATAGACTCCCTCTAAAACCCAACAGGGGAAAACAAAAAGAATTCGTTTTTTGCAAATGGATGTATATACCCAGGGCTCAAGAAGCGCGAGCTAAAGCCCAGCTGTCTGAGATGTTCAGTTCATCTAATTTTC